ACAAAATTACAACAAAGAGACACAAAACAACCACAAAGATGCACAAAATTACCACAAAGAGACACAAAACAACCACAAAAAACACAAAATGGCCACAAAGAAATACAACAATGCTTCAAAATGACCACAAAAGGACACAAAATGAACCTACTTCAGACTATATTTTGAGTCTGTGTGGTCTGTTTTAGGATTTTTTTTGTGTTTATTTGTGGTCATGTTGTGTTCTTGAGTCTCAGTCTTCCATTTCCGAGGATTATTGGGGCTGTTGTCTCACAATCCATTTAGGCAGAAACCTTACCTCTTCTTTGTCGGTTGTGTTGTTGTTTTGCAGTAACCTGATGCACAGCAAATCAATCTACTCTGACAACTGCTTCACCGTACAAGGACACTATAACCTTTTAGCTTAGATCATATTAAAAAAAAGATGTTGGAAATGGATTTCCATACTAAGCTGGAGAAATTACCATACTGTATTAAAATGAATGTAAACACTTAGAAAGAAAGTTTAAAGGACAAAGTGAAACAGGCGCTCTGTGGTCTTCTGAAGGTAAGTCAACACTGATAAAACCCATCGCCGGTGTCCATTATCATTTGTTTTAATGTCCACTTTTACGTGCACTTCTGTTTTTGCTCTTGTTTTCTAATGCCTCTCGACAAACAAATCGAGTTACAAAAGCACTCATCTAACGTTTCGGATCCTCTCAGACGAGCGGCCTAAGTGCAAAGAAAAATATCCATCCCAGAAGTATTTGAGGGATCCATTGCATACGGCTTTTTCCAACAGTAATTCCCAAAGTACAGATCAATACGGGCCTCTCTGCTCTAATGCGCGCTGATCAGCAGCAATACAGAAACTTTAAACCCCGGGTCGTTTAATTCAGTGTTGGTTTACAGGTGGAGACCCTCGCTGGTGCCATTTTAGAAGCTGAGAGTTATTGTTGAAAAGAATCTCTGGGTTTTCCTTCGCTCACCAGCTCGCCAAATCAGTCCTGACCTCTAAAGTTTAGCACATGTAGCACCTGGTATTGTAAAACAAACAAAAAAAAACAACTGAAAATATTATAAAATATGCATTTAATCAAATATGTAAAAGAAATGAGGAGGTATCCATAACACCTACATCTCCACTACATGAAACCTGACATGAACAAAAACAACCACTCATAAATATTTATTCTATAAAGACTTAGTTTTAATGTCAACTTAGGTTGATCACTTTTATGTCAGTAATTTAAATATGAGTGATAATAAAGTCAAAATAAAGCAGAAAGAATACATTTTTAAAACACATGAAGTTAAAATCTCCTCGGCCTCTTCGATTAAGAAAGTATTTGTCAATAAGGCTCCAACAAATGTTTTGATTGTTGATTATTCTGTTGATTATTTTCTTGATCAAATTGTTAATTGTTTGGTCTTAAAAATGACAAAAAATCTAAATATCCATCAGTGTTTCCCAATATCATAATCCTTAAAATGTTCTGTTCTGTCCACAACCTAAATAACAGAATTGTTTTAAAAACTGTTTTTTGTATGTGTTATTCTACATTTATGCTGCAACATATAAAGTTTTAAAATACAAATATGATGCAGCCTTACGGCCCTTGGGGGCGTCTTCTCCAGGTTGAAGGTCAGGCGCCCGTTTGCCAGTGTAAATGTAGTTTTATAATATCAAAGTATGTTTGGATTTATTCACTGTCTGGTTGGACTGCCTTAGGCACACTTCTTGTAACTACTCAAGTCTGACGAAAAGAAGGCCACGCATTATACAGATGCCTTTTTTAACATTTATTTCCTCTCAGTCAGTCAGATTTCTATGGGGCCTACAGCTTTTTCTTTTCTTTTCTTTTCTTTCCTTTTTTTTTTCTAAGAATTTCAGACATGTTTGTTTATATATTGTTGATATTATGCATGTTCTATCTACGAGAACACATTTTGACAACGAGATATTATTATTGTTATACTTGTTGTTGTTATTTACCCACATATTTTTTTCTTTCTTTCTTATTTATTTATTTATTTATTTAGCCATTCAATCATTCTCGGCAATATTTCCAACCTAATGTGCTCGCCAATAAAGCATTCTGATCTGTAACCTGAACCGTGAACTGAACGGTGCATTATTTGTGATCTTGAACGCGCCCCTGACGGACTTCATTTCCCAGAATGCACCACGAAGGAAAAAGTTTATGTCCAAGGTACAAGTCGTTCCTACCCAAAAGAACGACTAATGAGTGAGCAGTGACCGCTGTCAGTGACTGAAGACATGCTCGGTCACATTTAGACACGTCCCTCGTATTCAAGTCGTGTTTAATCAAAAGGAAGTTTATTGTTTTTTTTTTTTTAAATCAACGCTACAACGAGCTAGCTTGTTTTCCTCCGCAGGTAAAACTACAACAACTAGCTAACTGAACTACAACCACAGCTGAAGTGTTGTAAGTTTTTTTTAGCCAAAATATTGGTGTTGTTGTAGAAAACTTAGACTATATGTTACCGAGACAGTAAAACTTAACAAAGACAACCCACTGTGGCGTACAGCATGTTAGGAAAAGACAGCTAAATCTGCTTTTTAGTTGTATTTAAACTGCAGCACAGGGGAGGTCAGAGCTCTGTTCTGATGGGATTTGTTTTTTTTTTACAACTCCTGCATTCCCAGTGATCTGATTCATTGCATTAGATAATGGCAATACTATTGTGCTTGCATCTATCTTTACATTGTTTACCAGCATGGCAGATCTAAAAGGAAAAGGAGAGCTGCAGCCTGAAGATGTTGACACAGATGACTGCCTGACTTCATACACACACATCTACAGTCCAGATTTACTGAAGTAAGCACGAGGATATGCACTTCTAGTCCATTTGTTACGGTGCATTTCACACTGCTGGTCTCTATTATAACTGCACTTGATTTATTGTTCAGAGATCAGGTTGCTTTTATCACCGGTGGGGGATCTGGGATTGGACTCCGTATCGCTGAAATCTTCATGAGGTGAGGAGAAACGTCTGCTTGTTTTTCTCTAACATGCAAAGATTGTGCAGAAACATCAACATGTAATCACTCCTCTTTCATTCATAGATTTATATGCATGTTTAAAGGTATAATAGAGTATTTTGTTTATTAAATCATCAAGAAAATGCGTAGCTTTCTGTCAAAGTAACAGACTTGTTGCTTCTTTTGCACGGATCGTGCTTCCTGTTGAGCCCGGTCACCCCTGAAGGCCCATTTTGAGGCAGGAAAAAATAGAATCAATACTTTGTCAGCATTAGGTCATTACTTTTAGTCCAAAACAGTAAAATGCTTGACTGAGCTAGTGCTTTAGAGCTTGCAGCAGTGTTGTCTGACAGTCAGAGTTTCATCGTTTTGCTTGTTTACCAAAGCAGAAAAGGCTAAATAATACATCAGACCTTCTAACTGCATCTCAATTTGTGCATCTGAAGATCACCCAAGGATGAATCTCTCATTTTGTTTTCGCCATGCCTGCCTGCCATCTCTCACCCTCTGTCCGAACACATTAAGTTACTCCCTCCGTCTCCATCTCAGCTGTGAAAGGATTACATTTTAATGTCCTAATCAACAAAATACAGCATGCGCACTTTCTGCTTGTTTCTTTGTCTCGCTTCAACAATGCGTTTTGTTCTTGTCTTTCTTTCAGGCATGGCTGTCACACAGTGATTGCCAGCAGGAACCTAGATAAGCTCAAAGAGGTTGTTACTTCTTATTGTCTCCACAATCCTGCAAGACTCGCTAAACGATGGCTAAATGTTAATGTTTTGGCCTCACATAATATTTCTCCCCAGGCAGCCGGCAAGCTGTCTGCTGTGACGGGACGCCGCTGTCTTCCTTTGTGCATCGATGTGAGGCAGCCCGAGAGCATTGCTGCCGCTGTGGATGAGACGCTGAAGGAGCTGGGTCGTATAGACATCCTTATCAACAGTATGTGACGTCTTGTGCACATGCTGCTTGTTATAAATCTGATGTGTCTTGTGAAAACTGTTTCGCTAAGATTACCAAGTTTGTGGCGAAAGCTTTGCAGACATCGCTTGTCTGAATACATTTTAGGGTGTTTGTGGGCTCAGTAGGTTCAAATGTACTTTGAACAAAGGTGAAAGATTTTGGTTTAATCATCAACTTCTCTCTCAACCTTTTATCTTCTATCTTTACACCCTCGACCCCTCTGCAAACTGTTATGTCACCGCAAGATTAGTAGTTTTGCAGATTTTCCATGCAAGGTGATCTCTGTGTCATTAATGAGCCTTGTAATGAATGCAGCTTATGGCTTTAATGAGGCATTTAACATTTGCCTGGAATTGTTGTTCAGCAGTGGTGCCATAATTTTGTCCTTGGTCACAATTCTTTCTTGGACAGATGCTGCTGGAAACTTCCTCTGCCCTGCCATGGCGCTCTCCTTCAACGCCTTCAAGACAGTTCTAGAGATAGACACCATGGGTACATTCAACACCAGCAAGGTGGTTTATGAGAAGTGGTTCAAGGTACGAGTGCTTGTTCTGTTTGTGTCACACCATATTTCTTAGTTCCACATTAAGGAGCTGTAGGCAAATTGCTGATGAATATTGTATCTGCAGGAAGATAATTGGGTTATTGATGCAGAAACTTCAGATTCATTCTCTGCAGTTCACTCTGGTCACCAAAAGAGGGCAGTAATGACCGCAGATTTCTATGTGCCTTGTGTCTAAATAGGATTTAAGCTTCTTTCTCTGAGTCTCGAAGCTGATGTTATGATTTACTTACTGCGTCAGTTATGAGTCTCGGATTGTTTTTGTGTGAAGGATCATGGTGGGAACATCGTCAACATCTCCGCAACGCTCGGATACAAGGGGCAGGCCCTCCAAGTGCACGCCGGCTCCGCCAAGGCAGCAAATGGTGAGAGAATCTTTGGTCAAAGCTCAAGGCCGTAACTCAATAACTGATAAACTCATTATGACAAAATTACACGCAGATGTCTTATAGGGTAAAGTGATGACATTTCATTTCCAAAAGGTCAACTTTACTGTGACATTGTAATGTTCTGCAAAAACACTTTTCTGGCTGTTGTTCAAAGCCGTAACTCAAACAGAGGCGGGGATTGTGACCATATTTCACATTTGGTCAGATGCTGATTTGGTGACACTAATCTGGGATACCCAGATATCAAATCCGTTCAAAGTCTTTACTACATATACTTTCTGAGTCTGGACAGACATGGATGCATACTGCACCTTCATTCGTTGGTATGCAACCCCAAGGTCGTAATCCGAGGTAGTGTCATGTTATGATATTAAAAAGAGAATCTTATGACTCTGTCTTGTCCCCCAGATGCCATGACGAAGCACCTGGCTGTGGAGTGGGGGCCCAGTGGGGTGAGGGTCAATGCTGTGGCTCCAGGTCCAATCTCTGGTACAGAGGGCTACCGCAGACTGGGTAAAGATTTAGCACAATGCTGACTAAACTAATCATTTAAAAGTTATGCATTTAATCTCAATTATTAACGCACAACCCAGAATGGAAAAAGAGGCTGTTGGGAGCAGTAGTTACCGGCTATTAATGTCTAATTCACATATTCATTATGTAGCTCGGAATTACTATTGGTTTGTGCACTTGCTCTCTTACTAAAAAAGAAAGGAATTCTGGGTAGTGTTGGAAAATGCTAATTACACAAAGCATGTTAAGGTGCAAGGTGGCTCGGTGGTTAGCACTGTTGCCTCGTAGCAAGAAGGTCGCCGGTTCACGTCCCGGTGAGGACGCCCGGAATCTTTCTGCTCTCATGATCTCCCCGTGGGTTCTTTCCGGGTTCTCCGGCTTCCTCCCACAGTCCAAAAACATGCTGAGGTTAATTGGTGATTCTAAATTGTCTGTAGGTGTGAATGTGAGTGTGCTTGGTTGTCTGTCTCGAAGTGTAGCCCTGTGATAGACTGGTGACCTGTCCAGGTGATACCAGTGACGGGTTTCTTGAGTTCTGCCAACAGGGCTGTTGGCTTATGTCACTGGAACCGCTCATGTACAGCAGAAGTGCTCGTACCGGTGTCTCACTTTACCTTTTAAAACTCTCAGGTGGCCCTCGAGGCGAAGCCGCTGGTACCTTCCAGTCCATTCCTTTGCAGCGATCCGGCAACAAGACAGAGATGGCCCACTGCACTCTTTTCCTGGCCAGCCGGGCGTCCTCCTATGTGACCGGAGCCATCCTGGTGGCGGATGGCGGCTCGTGGCTGACCTCTGCCAACGACGTCTCCATGCTGTTGGGTATAGCCTCCTCTAAATCTGCTAAACTCTGAACAGGGGCTCTCCTGTCCTCCTCCTGACTCAGGTGTGTAGGAGGAGGCGCAGCTTGAGATCCGTGTGGACAGACAGCATGACTGAGAATGCGATTGTGCATGAAACTGACAAAGATTGTTTGAATCACAGTTTAACCCATATCAATCCACGTGTTTCTCTCATTTTCTTTCAGGGTATTGGTCATCTGAAAAGAAAAGAGACAAGTAAATGCTGAAAACTAAAGAGAACTTTAGTGCCCACCTGTAGCACCGATGTGCTACATGCACAGTATTTGTGGTTTATTTCACCCGCTGGTGCCTTAACAGAGTCTTAGTGAGTGGATGGTGGAGTAGAACACTAACATAATGTAGTAACTGTAGAATATGCCTTTACAGTCTTAGTTATTAATCAAGTGATATAACATTTAGCCATTCCAGTGCTGAGTATTCTCATGTCATCATGCATTTCATGTACAGTCATGTTTATCACCGGCCATTTTATGTGTTTTCCTCTCATGTATTAATAAAACCTTTATAATTACTTAGAAGTGTGAAGTGCTGTTTTGTAGTTATGGTCAGAAGTCATTTTGTTTTTATGGTAATTAACCAACATGCCTCCTTGTCGGATTGTACATACAAAGCTTATCAAACTTATTACTCTGAATTCACCTTTTTATTCTCAACTCTGAGCTGGCTCACTGGGCATCTCTGCTCAGGAATAAAAGTAAATAACTATAATTGGATATCTTATTCAAGAAACATAACATGCTTTACTATTTTTTTTTTGTAAAACAGTACATTTAAAAAATCATGGATAATAATAACAGTTATGTTAGCATTAAAAATATAATTTTTGGCTAAAGAACTTCTACATTCTGGTGTATTAACCATTACAGAAACATAAAAAATTATTTTGGTAATTACCAATGCTGTTAATTTAGGCCAGCTGTGGCATAAACCTTACAATAGGTGGTGGTCTAATAAATCTGTTAAGCACAAACAAGCTAAATACAGAATATAACTATTGATACTGGACAGTGGTCAATACAACAAGTACAAAATTATTAAAAACTGTCACTTTACAGTAATGGCTTTCCTTCTAAGGGTCTTTGCTCTGATGTAAAATTTGACACTAAAAGTAGATCTACCATATTATAAATACAGGCCCTACAGTATGAATACAAGGCAAAAAAAGTCGGTACACCTTTCATTATTGAGATTCTTTTTCTAACTTATGTCACGTGTATTAACGTTTTGTTGCACAGAGTTTGTCCTTTAAGGCCTGTATTTTCCATATTATCTTTGTAAAGTACATTCACAAGAGAAAATACTTTTCAACTTAGAAAGAATGCAAATATTGAGAAGCGGTACAATTTTGAATCATTCACCAGTTACTCCATATTGCATGTGTTCTGTTGCATGCTGTAGATTTAATTAGTGGTGTCAGAACTCCTGAATTTTTCCATTTTTTCTCTAAATATTTTCCAACTGATCAGATCTTCTAAAACCCTTCTGGCGGAGCAAAGAGAAACATCCCTCATTGATATTTGCTTGCAGCTCATCTTCTGCGACCTGTGATGAAGGATCTAAAGCGATAACTTGTTCTAAAAGGGGAAACAATATGATGGAGAACCTCTAGATTTAATTGACCAGTATGATGACATAGAATGCAAACTTGAATTGAATCCATGAGTCAGATGGGGGCGCCAAAACACTACAATTCAGCAATTTCCTCAAAATGATGAACAGCCTTTTCTCCACAGTTGTGAAAACAATATCATTGGTTCATATGTTACATCATTAGAGCTCAGAAAAACAGCCATTTAAGTGATGGTGAGCTCAGACACACGAACATCCCTGAGAGCTGAGGGCTCCTCTCACTGACCCTGAACTCTGACCTCTGTGTAAAGTGCTGCTTTCATTAAAACACAGCAGCTCTCTGGCACATGAAGCGAACAGGCGAGTCTTCAGGGTAGTCGTGCAGAAACACAAATCATAAAGTCCCAGCTGCTATAAAGGCAGTGATACTGCGGGCTGTTTTGTACGCTTGCGTGAAACGTCAGCGGTGTGTATGCGGCTGGAGGAGGAGGAGGAGGACGAGGAGGAGGATGGGACACTGCTGATGCTGATGCGAGAGCATTCGCCGTCTGTGATCAACATCGGTGGTACTGGCTGCCAAACGATGGAGCTCCTTGGCCTCGTTTCACCCCTCGCTCGTTTCGCTGTGGTTTTCGACGAGGCCCGCTGAGACGGAGGTGTTTTTTTTTTCCCAGACGGGGAGCGATAAAAGGAATTTGAGGAGGAAATAGCGGTTTCGTCTCGTCATTTCGTCTGGCCTGGACTGACACAGGTGGATTGCCGCTGGAAAACGGCGTCGACATGAAGAATTAACACCAGACCGAGGCGACGGTTTCCGTATTTACCTTTAAACAGTGACATATTGAGGCTCGTATTTTCGTTTAACCGAGAAGAGGGAAGACGGGTGGACTGTTTGGCGTGTAAGCTAGCTAATAGGCTAATTTTCGCTAGCTAGTCGGTTAGCAGCCGTGGTGTCCAATGGCACGAAAGAAGTGGGATGCTCGAAGGAGGAGTTAACGGTGGTTGCTAGCATAAATTCATTTGAGGGGAAAGACTGTCGGCGTTACATGTGGTGGCCCGCTTTGTAAACGAGAGAGTTAATACACAGCTTGAGGTTAATTAAGGTCTGAGTCTCGTTGCTTCCACCGTTTCCTCGCAGCGGCTCCTCGGCAAATTAGCCTGCGATGGATACGGTTAGATAATCGGCTAAGAGAGCTAATGTTGACAAACACTCGTCACTCGTTTATTCTTAACTTCACGGTGCGGCTCGTTGGCAGAGATGCTGCCGGTTGTGGTTTGTCGGTTCACCCCTGAGACGTTATTTCGATGATTTAGCACCTTTTATCCCGAAGTGAAGCATGTTGACGGTGGATGTGCTCCAGCTGAAACGTTTGGCAACAACAACCAGGAGCGGACCTGCCATGACAGGAGGGGACATAGTGAGTCAAGACACGTTTACATCATGTTCTGAAGGGATGACAAATGAACATGATTGCTCAGTTTAGGTAACGTTGTTGTCGAGATGCGGATGGCAGAAGCTACAACTACAGATACAGTTTGTTAAACCGTTGACTACTTTACACTGTTATTTATTCAATCACAATATCTGTCAGCATCTTTTAACTGTTAAACGATGGTTGTAGGAAGGCCACACTTGTTTCATGGTTTCACTGAAGATGTGTAGTGCCATTTAAAAGCATGGCATTAAAACTGAAGACCTGGATCTTGACTACAGCAGTGAGATAAAACGTCACAAGCTCTCTAAAGTTTGCAAAAAGGGGGACTAAGCCAGTCTAAATGGAACCGACAGTTCTGTCTGGCCCTCTGGGGCACACACAGTGGGAGTCAGAACAGCCATTTCCTCTTGGATTTCAAACACTGGATACAGACAATGGAGGTGTGCCCTGTCAAAGCCAGAGTGGTCAGACAGGTTTGGATTTCAGACACCAGGATCAGACATCCCACCACAGTGAAGAGGGAAATGTGGACAAACCGGTAGATTTGGACAAGCTCATAAATCATTTGTCTCGTGGAGATTTGCAATTTGAGGGAGATCTCTCTCCTGTTTCCCAGGCTTCCCTCCATAAAGAGGAATTGTCTTACACAGAAAAAATTGAAGGACTGGATGAAATCAGTGACTGCACTTTATCATGGCTATTTTCTCCCAACTTTCCTGATGTGATTGGGAAAAACTCTGCCTCCAAGGAGCTGACTCTTACACAGGATTCCCCTCTTGAGGACTCGGATGTCCTCGGTGGTCAGACGGAGCTAATAAACCTCAGCGTGCCCTCTTCTCCGGTGAAGATTTGTGAGAGGAATTCTGAGACGAACGCAGGGGATCCGTTTTTGTTAGTAGATTTCTTCTCAAATGAACACCCCTGTCTCACCCCAGAGTCTGTAGGTGAGTTGAACCCACAGGGTGTCACTGAGGAGCCAGCAGATCTGTCACGAGATGAGCAGCCAGGCCCCCCTCCCTCCCACAGCACGGAGACTTTGTCACCTGAAACAGGAGACAAAGGTTCATTCCCTGATCAAGTGACTGATCTGCTTGTAACCAGTAGCCCTACCCTGCAAGGTTTACCCGAGAGCTGCCTCCCGCATGACCACATCAGCACACCACTGGAGTGTTTTGAAGGATCTGTGCCTTTGTTGGATGTTGAGGTTCCAGATATCGACAGCAGCCTGAGCCTGTGCCCTGCCAGTCCTGCCTCTATTATCTGCACAGACGCTCCATTAGATGTATCAACAGAGGAGTCAGAGGTGGTACATGCAGAAGCTACTGTAACTGAAAATCTCGCTTCAGAGCAACAAGGTGAGAATGACTCACTTGCTCTGCATTTGTCAGACGAAACTTCATCACTGACACTGCCTCCAGCTGAAGATGCTCTCATCCAGGGTGATTTCAGCAGTGAGAGTGTTTCTGTGGAGAATGTGTCTAAGGATCTGATGGAAGAAGAAATTTGCTCTGAAGCCACAAATCAGGGGAATAAGGAAATGGCTTTGGATCTGTGCCTGACTGTTGAAGAAGTCCGTGATGAGGAATCTTGGGACCTGAAACCACCAGAGGATGTCCAGAACGGAGGTGTTTCTGACCTGACAGCCGAGCAGAGGGAAGAGGAGAGGACGACGGACACCAACCAGCTCGAAGTTTCAGATTGTAACGATGTAGCTTCTTTTGATTTTTCGGTTCAGGACTTAAACACGTCTTCTCCTGAGGCTGGATGGACTAGTGAGCAAGCTGTGGAGACACTTTCAATCTCTAAGATGGTGGTAGATGACTCACTGCCGATGGTCTCAGCTGTGAGTACGAGGGAGGAAGATGTCTCCCCGCTAAAAGCTGTGTTCGATGCTTTAGACCAAGATGGAGATGGCTTCGTTCGTATCGAGGAGTTTATGGAGTTCGCTGCTGCCTACGGGGCCGATCAGGTGAGACACCTTGTTTTTCTTTGCACTTGCCTCTTTTGAGCATGTGAAGTGAAATTTAATGGAAAACAATATACAGCTCCATTTACGTAAATGATTTATTATTGATTTTTCTGCAGGACTTTGGAGGGCTTCCTGCAAAAAGCCTGTTTAGTTCAATCAATTGAAATCTGTTTAGAGATCTCACTTTGCTATCCATTGTTTGGAATCCAGATTTGTTTCAAAGTTAATATTCTAATTCAAAGTGAAGTGAATGAATCTGCCAAATGTAGTCATTTTTACTGGCAGGTCTTTTCTGAAAGATTTCATGCAGCACTAAGTACTGTCGGTAGATATTCTTGCTGTTTCTAAAATAAGAAGTGTAATTATTTTAATGAACTGCATCAGGTTTGTGTTGCTGTGACACGTAACGAAGGCGGTAACACAACCTCTTACTTGGGTGCTGTTGTTTCTCCTTGAGCTTTTAACATTCAGTGTTAAAGATGGCGCTAACAGTGCTGCATGCTATTAAAACCATGCCTGGATTAGTTTGTCGTCTATCTTTGGTGAGCGTTCAAAAGCGAGGATTTGGGTTATCACCCAGGCATATTGTCTGTAATGAATTCTGTCAGGCCTGAAACTCACCCATATGTCAAATGACAAACACTCATCCCTCCATTTGCATACCCTGTGGTTTGGGGATAATCTCTTGCGCTATTGCTGGAGCGTGTCACTCCACCCACGACCTTCACCCTTGTTGTTTCTTGCCCTTTGCACCAGGCCTTCAACTATATTTTGTAGCATTTTCCTTAGAAGTCAAGACACCAGAAACTTCAATCTTTTGGTCACGGTGCACTGCGTTTAGGTGCAAGTGTGATCGTCAACTGAAAGTGAAATTTAGAGTATAAACATTTGACACGTATCACTCTTGCATCAGTGTTTCAGCGACTTGATTTGCTTTTCCTGTCTAACGTGCTCGTCTGCTTGCCTCTCCCAGTGTTTACAAGAATCAGACGAAGCTCCAGCAAGTAAACACGCGTTTGCACATAACAGTAAAAAGATGGATGTAAAAGATGACGTAACCGATCTGGTAACAGAATAGGCCTTACAAGTCAACTGCGCCTCAATAATCCTTTTTTTTTTTTTAGCTAATTATGATTTTTTTTTGTTTAATTCAGGATTCCATCTATGGGATATCAGCACAAAAATAAACCAATTGAAAGATCAGAGCCAAAAATGGGCATTTAACACAACAGTTGCTTGTTTTTTCCTGTGTAATGTGTTATAGTTGACAAGTGATGCTGCATTTTGGACGCCAAGGTCGTGTAGCATTTAAGACCTACGATGGAGACTTTTAGAAACCTGTTGGATATGTTTTAGAAAACTCAAATTTATTCTGACGTCGGAAGTGAAGGCTTTTGGAAACACGAGACATACTCTCATGTTTGCTTTCTGATCTGGTCTGAACTGTCACTATGTATTGTCCACGATTCGTCACGCTTTAATCAAGTGACCCTTTTCCGGAAAAAAACAAAGGCCTCGGCTTTGACTACAGGTGCTCAATTCAACATGGATAATTAATTGCCGGCGTTGCTAACCTTGTTGTCTCTGCTAGCAGCTGTTGTGCAGTTTAGGAAATCTCTGGCCTTACTTTTTGCCATTACTGCTGTTAGACTGGAGTATTTTGTAAGCAACCAACCCTCCTGTTTTATGTTTACATCAGCACCCACATGCGCACTGTACGCCAGTGGTCATGTGATTCGCAGTTTCAGGCGTGTTAGCGTACACAAAGATTAACACTGACGGAGTCCTAAAACGTTTGTCTGCATGAAAATAGTTTTTGTTTTAAAACCCCTTTTTTAAAATGAAAAATTTAATAGAGTGCACACAGCCAGAGGCAAGTAGTTAATTTTTAATATATTAAACAGCTAAATTTAAACTCTTTGAGACTCTTTTCGATTTTGAACAGGGCCTTTGGGTGAGTATAGGTACTTGTTAGTACTCCACACACAGAGTGTCATGCTCGCTCACTAATGCTTTTTAATCCCTTCCCTCCCAGTTCAAAGCGCCTCTATTGCCCCTGATCTGTCCCGTGCCTATCCATAGGTATCTGCAGCTCCCCACGCAGGGAATGGTGAAGGATTAAGAGTAAAATGTATTTTCCTGAGTCAGAGGGACTTCATGGTTTGGGTGCTGTCCACTAACTGCCTACCACCTTGTTTTGAGGGACAGAGGAGCACAGCTTTTGTCATGTTAGTTTCATGTAAATCAGTTCCACCTGTTGATATGCTAGCGAAAGGTATTACATTTACATGATGGAGGGAACCTGAAATGTTCTTTCTAAAGGTGTGGTCTGTGTTACTGTTGTTTTATACCGTTTGGATTCTGGTGGAATTTTCATCCTGCACATTGAATCCAGCAGTTTCATTTGGATCTCTGCATCTGAAAGGTCTGCTGTGTACTGCTAACCAGATTGTGCAGATTGATTACTTGTGCTTTTTTCCTTGTGTTAGCCATCGGATATCTGGTTTCTAACCGCCGCAAGAGCTAATGCGCGTCCGGAGAGGAAACTCCTCTCCGATTTCTGTCCTTTTTGATCCAAACAAGAGACAGAAGTTTAGGCATGCCTGCTGTTTCCAACCCATTTTTCAGTTACAGTAAATAAGCAGGCGGCAGACAGACTTATCTTTTAGAATTTGTGGAATGTTACATAACGCATGTAACCTTTTAGTGGATTTGGCATTAATTAGCTGTGCGCAGCAATCGGTGGGAAAGTCAGGTCTGATCTAAACAGGTCTAACACATCACACATTATGATTGTTTCTTTGCTGACGTACACTTCTCTCATATCAGTTTGGAACACATGTGAATGTACTTTTTGTATTTGAATAGCTTTGTCCTGATATGTCCTTGTGTTTCAATCATCTGGAGATAAAAGAGGTTTGAATAACTTCCACGCCTGAGCGACTCTGATAGGTGGAACTATATGTGGGCCACAGCGGTAACACCAACGTTTAGCATGCGGTTGAGAGAGCCGTAGGGCAAGAAGTTATACTGATACTTAAGGGCATCATAAAAGATGTTGCTTTAAACAATGTGAAGTTTAAACTGCCTATAGTGATGTAAGCAAATTGGAGCTGGTTGTTAAGGGAATTTTTTTTAGATTAAATGTGATAAACAGAGTTTGATTCCAATATTAGTTTCTACAAAATCTGCTTGCCTTATGCACTACTACCTCTACAAAGCCATTATACAACAGGCATTCAGTGATTTTCATTTATTTATTTCTCATATGTTCATGTCACACTTGTTTAACTGAGGGCCAGGAGCAGGACTTGCATGCGTATTATCCCGTACTTATTTGCAAATATTGCAGCAACCTGTCAAAGACAGCAGGAAGATATTCATGAGACATTTGCATGAATGTTCTGCTGGTTCCAGTATGCCAAGCATGCAAATGTCTTCTCCAGAAATATTCCAGGATGTGAAAGCAGCTATGTGCACACACACACACACACACACACACACACACACACACACACTGTCTTGTGTATGTGCTTTGAGTATGACCATCATACAGTGTAGAAATCTTAAACCAAAATGCTGTTTATAGGTCAGATGTCAAACTTTCAGTGAGAAAACATATTGCTCTGTTAAGTAAAATGTTTGCCTGTGAAGTTTCCAAGTGCTGTCTTTGCCACTTTTCTGGGTGAGACGTATTTCCCAGGAGAGCAGTTGAGATAAGTTTGATTTGTAGCCTCTACTGTACATGTTTACTGTAGTTGGGTGATTCTTCTGGACTGTGAACATTAAATGCTGACCTGCTGTTATCCGTGCTGGGATTATTCTCTGAGACCTTCTGATGAATGTCGGTAAGATGTCCTGCAGAGATGCATTAGATCAGGGAATTTGGTGATTGAAAAGATCTTTCTGACCCTCACTCGTTGTGGGTTTGACCCTGATTCCACACAAAAGCCATACTCAACAGCACTGTGGTGGCGTCTCTCTTGTGAGTCGACACTACCAGCCCTACTTTGGCCAGCCTCCCTCCCCTCACCCGCTGCTTTTATGTACTGACCCTCTAATCCACAATGGAATGTCCCATTCCATGAAACATCCCCTCTCTTGAGTTCCCTTTTTTGTGTGCATGTGTGTTAACGTTTAATTTTCAAAGATTCTGCTTGTGTTGTATTTTTATTTTTTTTGTTATATCATCATTTGCCAGCCCACTAGGCTCATGATTATGGCTATCAGAGTTTTGTTTAGGAACTATTGTGAAATCCCCTTCAGGAAAAAATCTCTCACCAAAGGGTATTCTTCTCCATGGGGTTATGCACAACAGTGGTCTGTGTGGAGGCGGTCAGGCGTGCCCCGGCACTGATTAGACACAAATAGAGGAAACAGAAAAACCACAGTGCTCTTGCTGCCCTGCTAAGTTGAGCTGCATTTGAGTTTCGCTTTTATCTCGGCCTCACCGCTGTCTGTCATGCTTGTTACTTGTAAGATGTAACCATGCGTACTGAGACAAGTGTTAAAGACAATGCTGTAAAATAGGATTTAAAAAAAAATAAAGGCTTAAAGTTAAAGCTGAAAAACAGACAGTAAATCAATGCAAGTCAAAAAAAAAAAAAAAAAAAAAACTTTTCCAACAAGAAGTTCTTTTTTGGTTCAGTTTGTTCCATGCAAACAAACTGTATAATTGTACAGCAACTTTGCAAGACGCATGCAGGAAAACAATAGAGGTGGTCAGCAGGTCAGATATACCGTGCAGAGTAACTGTCAAAACAAGAGTAAGTAGATGAATTATTAGTCCCTGAGAAGACACAGTGCTACCCGCAGTATTAAATTGTGTGTGCTGTTTTAAGTAATTAGTTTTTATAGAACTGGTTTAACAGCTGCAGAGAGACTTTTCCGGGGTAATGCTGAGCTGAAATCACATTCACCTTTCGTTTTTAGGTTAGACCTAGAATAGCCAACAGGCTCTGCTCACAAGACCTGAGGGGCCTGGCACTGCTGTACAGACGTAGCAACTCAGATGTAGGCCATGGATGGCTTCCACAGTGTAGTAGCTTAAAACGGCTCTGGTAGCTTTGGCTGTCACAGGGAATGCATCCAGCCAGTGGTGAATTATTATAGTATTCTGCCCCAGTCCCTCACTGCAGCAGCAATAAGTTATTTGCAGCTTATAACAAATATGCAAAAAATGTCATTGGAGCCACACACACACACTCTCTGAGTCAAGTCCCCCATCACACCCCCGTTTTCTCACCTCACCCAGCAGCGGTGTTTCTGAACTGCTGCATGGAACAAAATTATTTCCTGTGAACTGTGATGCTCCATTGTGAATTGGAAAGCTGAACGCTGCATTCACACACCTACCAGTGACCTCAACCACGTCTATGCACGAGTTCAGTCCTCGAAAAACCTCTTCAGCGTCTTTTTTTAGTCTAGAATATGCAGCAAGCTTACTGTACCGAGAGAGATGAAAGCTGGGATGAGCCTCGATGCCACATGCTAAACTTAGCATTCTCTGCGTTGACCACCATTCAGTGAAATCAGGCACTCCCCTTCTCTCTAAGTACAGCTGGGTTTAATTCACCGAACCCAGATCATACGCCACAGGGTTGTCGGAGTCAGTTTATTAGAAGTTTCAGCCTTCTCAGCCTCTTGAGTCAGGGCTCAGCGTTGCTAAGCAGATCAACTTGTTTTCATGTGTAACCGATATAAAAAAAAAAAGTGCAGAAGAAAAGTAGAAGGCCGCACACGCACAGAATGAGAGCCTCTGTAAAAATGGCCATGTTCACATTGTGTGCTCACTTTCTCAAGGAATAAGCGAGCCGAAACCTCAGAAACCTCACTCGACATGCTCCCAGGCTCCCTCCCAGCTACAGTAATTTTGTCAGTGATACACGCCTGAAAGTATGCCGTAATGATGGGTTGGTGTAATTTTGTGATGGCTGACATTTGACTTAGTTTATTATTTGTGTGAATCGATGTTGATTGCTTGGTGCCGCAGATAATTTTGCAGATAGATGCTCGTGTCTAGTGCGCGGTGGAAATCTTTGGGAGCCAACTGATGGCTAGTAAACATAAAACGGTAATAAATTGTCTTAGTGTGGATCAGGTTCAGTTTAACTTCACTTATATTCAGAACCTGTAACTGAAGAAACGAGTGATCCAAGGTGCACTGTTGCTTTTTATGTTCTGAGGTTGCCAGGCTACTGACTGTAGAAATATACATGATGTAGGTGCGCTTGCGTAACACATTTAACACTTGAGTGCAGCAGATTCTGTGCACTTAGGTCTGTATTTGCTTTATATCATGAATGAGCTACTAAGCTAAAGCCCAATTAAACTATATTTTTTTGTGTTATTTTGGGAATATTTTGCTAGAAAAATGCTTCCAATGTTTCATAAAGTGTGTAAATGCCAAACATTTTATCAGCAGCTTTCACATTTTACATTTTTCTTTCTTCTTTTTTTCATTTTTTGACTTATACAATGAGTTTAAGGGAGTACTCTTTGTCCTTATAAACTCATTATCCAATAAAGTAAAACATTTGACATCTGCAAAAAGTCGATTTTCATCTGGAGGTCAGATGTGTTTTATTGGTGATTTTCTGCTCCTGTAATCACTGCTCATAATTCTGCAGCGCAACCGTCATGTGAGTGAAATGATCCTCAGGATGATGTCTTAGCAGTTTTGTGGAGCCGATGTTCAGATAAAATCCTGGCCTGTCCTCCTGAATGCAGCATGCTTTTCCACTGAAGTCAGTATGCAAACACTGGAGCAAAGTCATTTGCCCCCTTTTGCGGTAAACTTCCCCTTGCGTCATGTATTACATCATCTTGAAGCGTCTAAGCAGAACAAAATGATAGCTTCACGCGAGAGGGCTTTTCTTCTGTTGCCATGGCGAATATGTTTTGAAGGTTGCGGTGTTTGTTTTTTTGTCAGGTGAAGGATCTGACCAAATTTTTGGATCCCAGTGGCCTTGGAGTGATCAGCTTTGAAGACTTCCACCGGGGAATCTCTGCAATTAGCAACGGAGGTGAGTCAGCACACCTTGTTTATTGTGTTGCTTGTAAATCCTTTACCCAGTGTCCCCTTTTTGTGGACTCAGTTGGCCTTTTATCTTTAAAACTAGAGGTTCTACATGTAGTGATTTGTGAAACCTACCTACTATTACAATTCTGACATAAGTAACACCTCACATTTGTTTTTTCTCGTAACTGCAGTAAACTTTTATGAGGCATATTATTGTGATTCTCAATGAAATCCATGTTTCATGAAATGATGTTTGTGTTGCTATTTCATGTGCGTGCAGTATTCCATGAGTAAGAACATATTTGCTGTTAAAAATGCCCCAGCTGCAAATTCCAGCATCTAAACCACTCCCTATTGATTATATAATACATTACGTTTAAACAGGCATGTACGTGAACAGCCTCAGTCTCCAGCATCTGGCTCCATTCCTCCACATTACGCATGACGCCAAATATTGTTATCAACACAATGTGTTCGCATGTACCGCTCAGTAGAGGTGAAGGATTTTCAAAGCAAAGGCAGAACACTGACCTAAATTCTTTGTTTCTAAACTCAAAATCAATGTTAGATTTTCTTTAATCACTTTAATGCCCTCTTGTTCCCCTTTTAAAAACTGTTTCACACATTCACACGCAGCATCGTGCGTCATAACAGCTTTACGGGTACAGCCTCGTCATCAGGATTCTCAGGCTTCACCTCTAAAAGTCTGATCTAATCCTATTTAAATATTGAATTGACTCTAAATTTGAGCTGTTTTCTGTTTGTAATGCGGTAAAGTGGATATGATGGATGAAGGTGGCCTAAAGTGAAATCATAGCACAGTTTACAGCAGACACTGGATGTTTGACTGCGGTGTTGTCACTGCAACAATTGATGCACCGATCCACGCAGCATATTGATTTGTAGAACTCTTTCCCAAGGCTTTCTGGGTTGCACAGCTCTGGTTACTCAGACCATTAATAAGTCATGCACTGGAGAGCATGAGATGCACAGACACATGGGCCGATTGGCGAGGTTTCAGAACGGGAGCGGCAGAGAGATGAGGTTTGGCCGGAGAGTCCTATTCACCTTAATTATTTACTGTCCTCTCTCCGCCCTGTCCTCTCAGTTTCGCCTTTATTTTTGTCCTTCCAGTCACTACTGTTGTTGCTAAGTCGTGTTATAAAATCACAGTGAAAGCACAGAAATTCATGTATTGACAAATTCGCCAAAAATAAACTACTTTTGTACACATTTCAGCTGAAACCTTTAGTATGATGGTATCTCCACAGCTTAGACTACATGAACTAATTTGCCAAACAGAATTTAGACAGACATCTATACTAAAAGTATTCTGCTTATGGGGTTTGTTTTATTGGATGTCATTGGTGTGACCCGAGCCGCTTATCCTACTTTTTGCCTCTCTTCAGTATTTTCTGCGCAACAAGCCATGTGATGAGTGAATCAGATATTTCCTCCTGGAACACAGTTTCCCATTAGTGTGTGAAGACCGGGCCTTGACTGTACCTTCCCAAGCCGCTCACACACTCCTGACAGATTTCCAGTGTGCTTGTCAGTTTGCAGCTAAACAATTGATTTCTAGATCCATGATGTGTTCTTCACTCCCGCTGCCCCCACCTCGGTTGTAAACACAGGCCGAAACCTGCTCTTCCAGCCTCTGGCCTGCAGCGAGCTTCAGTGTAAACTTCAGTGCGCTCCGCTTTCTTTTTTTTGTATTTAATTTCTGCCCCACTTGTCAGTGAAAAGGGTATCTTTTAATAAAAGCATTCCTGCAGGCTATGGAAATGCCTTGCACCCTGTAGTGGCTATGGCATGTCTGGAATGACAAAACTCGTTGTAGAACCTCCTTTCACTTTTTGACATTTTGCCAGGAGACTGCAGGTGTGTTGCTCAACAGAAGCCAGCTTCTCCAGCACAGTTCTCTTCGTTTTAGACTCATTTGTTGGGCTGCAATGTGTATGAGTCTCGAAGAGCAAAAGGTTACATAAGACCCCAGGGGCACAAAACCCCTTTGGGTCTCCTGGCAGAACAGTGTTTGTTCTCTGTTCTCTCAGCAGGGTGCTATTCACTGCTCTGTTTACTAGATACAGGAGCCGCAGTGGCTCACGGGACTCTTGTTGGTCCGTCTCAGATTACACGGTTGGTCTGCAGGTGCTTTCAGCGGAGGGCTTTATTGACAAATATAAAATGGATATGGGTTGCTTCTTGTCAGTTTTTATTGTTTTATTTTGCACACCCTCATTACTTGACATTCTATAGCCCTTGAAATATGAGTGTAAAAGTTACATAATGTTGGCTGTCACATCACGCTTAGATTGCTGACTGTAAATTTGCCAAAGTAGGACAGCAAGGGCACAAAAGTTTTAAATGTGCTGATTGCATACTTGAGCAAACACTTTGGAGGGTGAAAAAGTTTTGTTGTTGTTGTTGTTTTCCCCCAAAAAAAACCAATGAAAAAAAACCTTGGTAAAAAAGGTTAATCAAAGGCCAAAACAAGGGGGGCTAATTAATTAATTTTAAACAACAAACAAAAAAAATGTCTCGTCTATGAGTTAAGGATACATTAATCTAAATTATAAAATCAAAATGTACTCAATAACTTGTAATCTATTGTTATGGTAATACATAAAACAGTGACCTTTTGATCAAGTTACAGCAGCATCAGGTGTATCTAGTAGTTCTGAGAGTATCTTAATAGGCCCCACGGTTTTTAGTAGTATAAAGAGACCGGTACAGGCACTAAAGTGGACTAAGTCATATCATAGATCTTCTTTATGATACATTCAAATGGACATTTTAATATAATGAAAGTGGGTTAGGGAAAAAGTAATATCCAAAATTGCTGCCTCACTATCACCCTGTGTATGTGGGGGGGGGGAAATACTCACAGGCTCCAGAAATGAAATTGTGATTTGTGTACTTGTTCACAATGCAGATATTTTTCCTCTCGGTTATCGGATAACGTGCACAAGGCAATGGAAAATACATCTATGTGAGGATTTCTCTACTCCGCTGAAAACAATAATTATGATGCAGCCTGTATATTTTTTTTTTGAAAACATTTCCCCACTGACTTCTGTTACTTCATTTACCTGCTAAGACGCCGTCCTTCTCTTCTTTCTGCATAATCCCTGTCTGTTTGCACACGGGCATTATTGCTGTGCCTCTTGTTTGTTGAGCGCCCTTCGCTGTTGGACTTTGTTTATTCTGCACACATTAAACTTATCCTCTTCCTCTTCTATCCACAGGACCAGAGCCACAGCTCTACAATGTAAACTACAGTCCAGGGGATGGAGCTGTGGGCTGTCCAGAGGAGTACGACGAGGTGAGGCGCCGAGCAAGAGGATTAGCCTCTCTGTAGTTGTGTATGTGGCCCAGTTGTTGTGCATTCAGTTCCCATCGGCGCACACGGCAGCACAGTGTGAAGGCCACAGGCTGAACTCCCCGTGCACTCTCACTCATCCCACTGTAATTCAGTGAGTGGCTTGCAGGGCTATCATTACCACTCTGTGAACGTTCCACAGACTGAACACCCTGGTTTGGCTGACACTAAATAGCATCTGGCAGGCGAACCTTTGAGTATTCTTTGACAAATATTGAATTAGCTGGAATGTGCAGGAGTTTTTACATCTGTGTGTAGACTTGTGTTTTTACAGTTGTGGTTGGCATATCTGGGATTCCTGTCTCCTCTTGTGCACGAAACTTGTATATTTAACCATCGTTTTCGCTGGCCACTGCAAAATTGAAATGTTTCTGCTATTGTGTGCACTTTGAGCTCTGCTGGATGATGACTGTTGTTTTAGTGGCTCCACATTGCGTCGTATCAGCGCCCCCTCTTGGTCTGGTTTAGAAGTGCAGCCTGTGTACTAGATAGTTAAGAGTGTAAATGATTTCTCTCCACCTTTTACAGTCCGCATGAGCTAATAATTAAATGATAAAGTCAAAGAGCCTTCTAAAATACTCTGGCAAAAAACACAACGTCCCTGTGCACTTATGTCAGGACTAGTACGTCTAATATTGGAGACTAGAACCCAGTGCTTGATGTATTTGATTTATTGACTTCTCAAGGCTGAAAAGCACAGCGAAATCCTTGTAATGTGTTGTTTGACATACAAATTAGATTTATGTGAAAGATGACCACTCGGTTTAGGATTAAATTACATGTGTCCAAATTAGTTTATAGAGAAACAGATTTTTCCTAATGTGATTAATGGTGCCTGAATGATGTGCAAAACTGCTCAAAAGCTTGATGTACCCATAGAAGGTGTTAATGTAAATGGTTTCAGAGAAGGTATAATTTTTGTTTAACTGCTCATAATCACATGTTTAACAGCTAAACTGTGTTGAGATTTTAATGCAGTTTGTTACAATTACGAAAAAATGAAGTTCAACCAAAAAGAACAAATTGGTTGACATGAAAACAAAGATAGAAAATATTCATAAAATATTGATGGAAGTAGTGAACCTCAACTAACACAAGCAGTTATTTGTTAAGTATTTTACTTCATTAAATATTCCAGCCGCTGTGGCTGCTGTTTACTGGAACCCATGAGTGGAGTTTTTGGGGAAGTTTGCGCATGTTTGAAGTAGACGCCACACCTGTGCCCATGGCCTTGTTTTTTCCTTGAGTTTTTTGGCAGAAAAGGGCTCCTCTCTCTGAATGGCTGTGCTGTTCTGTCCATGTTTGCTTTCAAAACAGGCAAGGTGAGGCTGTTCAGCTGAGGCCTGGCATAAGAGAGCTGCAACGCCCCATCCACCACATTTTTTCCTTTATTAAATACTTTCTGCCGTTGCTATCTTTCACTTTTGCCATTTCAAATTTTTGCCTTTTATTGGTGCTAGTGGTATTTCCATCTACCACAGCCAGTGTTTTTGTTATAAATTTGTTGTACGGTACGGTTCCCGTACAGCTTAGCAGCATGTTAGTTTTCTGTTGGCACACAGTCGGACAGCTAAGGCAGGTTGTTGTGATGTATAGTCCTCATTCACTGTACAGCCTTTGAGATGTAGAGCATGGCTTAATGATTTATACTGTCACACAGGGCCAGGAAGTGAAGCTCCCAGGAGCGAGGAAAGATTAAACAGTTATTCAGGCGTGTGTGCGGCGTTTTCGCTCTCTGCTGAGGGCTGGTAGTAGTTGATTGAGCATTACAGCTGACTTCTGCTGCTCTTTGGACTTTGTCTCTGTCTCCACCCCCCTGACCACCCGGTGGAGCAGAACGAGGTGTAGCAGTACTTTCCTTTTTTTCTTTTTTTTCAACATACTCTCTCTTTCACGCTCTATGAGGGTGAACGTGAGGAAGCGTACGCAGGAGTTAATAGAGGGATTCATGGCAGGCCAGCTTTCCTGTCAGTGAGACTGGGCTGAAAGAATGGTTTTGGGCATGGTGGATATCCCTCTGGGTCCGGCTTCTCCTGACACTTCATGTAGACTGGTACGTTTTCTGTCCAACATGACTCAGCTGTCTTGCCTTCATTGTTGCTTCACAGCTTTGATACTTAATAATGTGTCTGTTGTTACTGATAGCTTTACAGGTTCTTTTTTTTTGGCTTGAATCAGTATTTAGCATTTGTTTTTTTGTTGTTTGGAAAGCCGTAAGCTTTCCCATTTTGTTTGAACTTGTTGCTTAGACGCATTGATGCAGCAGGGTTTGCTTGGAACTACCATCTGAAACGCAGCAGACTGTCTCTGAAGTGTGTTTATGCTTCAGGATTTGTTTGGTTGTTGCTGTAATTGGCGCCAGTACCTGCTGGATACACATGAAGATTCAATATAGACCATCTTTGAAAGAGCTGTTTTATTCACAGGCTGATCAACCTGTAGGTTTGTTGTCTGATGTTTGCTTCACATAAATGGAAAACTAAGATGTTGATTTCAAATACACCTGATAAAATCCTTAAAATTCTATTTACATTGTTCAGAATGATACAGGTAATCAGCATCACTAGTCTCAGTAACATCTATAATGATGCTAACAGGAATACTTTGTCTTGCTTAAGTGAAGAAGTGTACTTTTTCGAACCATGACATTATTTGATTTACACCAACAGACGATTTATTGTATGTGCAGTACAGGCTGTCACGCTCATGACATTTTAGCTGATCATTAATTGTTATGCAAATAGTTGGGATTAATGATTTGATTGTCTTTTTCTGTTCATTTTACGACTCTTTCAGTTTTCTATTAGTGGCATTACGGCCTTGAACTGCCACCTTTTTGCTGCAAATCCAACAAATCACCTCATCCAAGTTATTTGGCTCTCCTTTTTCATTTGGCTTAAAACCAAAAACGTACCCACAGTGGTGCTGCGGTGTTTGGCTTTGCAACTTACTGACATTAGCTGCTCATCGAAATGCAGTCCGTCAGATATTAGAAGTTAAGCACCTTCACATCAACGGTTGTGGCCATTAAACCACAGTAGAAGAAGGGGCCACAAACGGTGGGAAAAAACATGGAAATAATGATGCCATAAGTGTCCAGCTGTTTTTATACAGGTGAATAGAAACAATTCAAACAATAATGTAATTGCGATCAGCTGCTTTGGTAATAATTGTCAGCTGATAAGGTTTATTCCATAACTGATAACAAAACTAATTGTCAGTATCACCCATATTTAGTACTGACATGCACGAGCAGTGAGAATGAAAACCTTGAAAACCAATCCTCAGTCACAAATCTCTGTTGAAATACTCTTGTTTATTTATGTTTTGCATAAAGAGAGCTTTATTTATCCTTCAGTGTTCATAGGTAATAGTCGTAACTGCTCAGAAAGCGCTGCTGTCGAGGTAGCTGCATTAGAGCCAAAATAACACATTTTTATATCAATTTATTTGACTGGAAAGTGTTTTTTTAAAAGCAATAATGACAGTAATCAAAAAAAATACTGAATATTCGATTCATTAATATACTGATCAGTTCCTAACTGTGACAGATCTAATACAGTATAGTGTTGTTTTGCACATACTAGTTTCCATCCGTAAATGTGCCCTGTTTTGTATATTATTCAGATAATCATGAATATATATTCGCTGATTGAGAGACTTACTGTAATGTTGTTGTTATTCTGTTTCTGTAGCAAAATGAGGTGACAGACAGTGCCTACCTGGGCTCCGAGAGCACTTACAGTGAGTGTGAGACCTTCACTGATGAAGACACGGGGGCCCTCGTACCCCCAGAGATGCATGAGGATGTGGAGACTGACAGCGGTATCGAGGCGACGCTGCACGACCCTGAAGATGGCGGAAATAGGTTAGTATAAATTTTAACTCGGCCATTTTTAGTCTGTCAGTTGTGGCCAATGTGCTCATATTTCCTGGATGTAGACCGTAAGTATATCCTGTCAGTGATGCTGAGAAAGCTGGTTATAACCCTCACTGACTTCTGTCATACATCATCAGATGTAATCCACTTGTTATGAGACCCAGATCAGCGTCATAATGCTGTTTGTAAGCACTGCTGGTTACAGAACTGAACAAAATGTGTGTTAAATCGCCAGCCAAAGGGTTCGCCCTCGAGCTGCCCTGAACTTCCCTTTCACACCGTGACTTACGAGTCTTGCGTGCCAACACTGGATCACTTGGGTTCTATTTGGGTCAACAGACAGGCAGATTAAACTGCTGCCATAGACTGCCACCACCATACTGAGTTCCCCTGGGTACACCCGTGTGTAGAAAGCCAGTTAAAAATACGGTATCTTGCTCTCCTTCTGTATTTGGTTTCCTCAACTTTCTCCTTAATTGTCTGTTAAGCTCCGCTCCTGATGTAGACCGACACTGTTCAATGTCGGTGGTTTTCTGTGCGGCTGAAACGGAAAGCTCAGTCAGAGATAACTTTGAGTCTGAACAGAGTAAGCACATGAAACCTTGAACACAAACACCTCTCCCACTATTCTTCACTCATGGAGGATGTGGATTATTATTTTTACTGACTGAAAGCGTCTCATTTTCTCTGAACTCTCAGGTTATGTCATAAGCTTCTAAAGATGGCTGTAAATGAGACGTTTTCTGGATTTGCAAGAAATGATCAACTTTGTGTGTTTTGAGGAAACTATTTGTTGTGATCCATTCATCGTCACTCCAGTTTTCATTTATGTTACACTCTTTGGACCAGAATGAGATTAGAATATTCTTCGGTTTCTTTTTCTTTTGTTAAAGTTTAGTGGAAGTTAATAAATCTGCCTCCAGTCCCCTTCAACACCACCACAGACCACTCGAAGTAGACAAAATGGTAAAGGCTGTCCTCTTTACTGACTGTTACTGTGTCCCAGATCTGTTGCACGTGAGCTAGAGTGATACTGACACACAGCTGTCAATCCACATGTCACACAATCTTTAAGTCAATAATAAATAGTTTACTGAATTAGTGGCTTTATTTCGAGGAGTGATTTATTTTTTTCCCACCAAGTCAGAAAAGGTGGTCAATTTGAATTTCCCTCCATAGTAAAGACTGGTCTGGACAGGTAGCTGCTGCAGAGTAGATTTGTATGTCCGCGCGTCAGTGTTGACACAGTTTTTAGGGCAAACACAAGAGAGGAAGTGCAGAGCGCTGTGGCTTTATCTGCTGACTGTGTGACCTGTCTGTCCGGCTTGATGACGGATTGGAGTGGTCTGCCTGACATGGATGTGTTTGGACTTCCCATTCCATGAGTGAGCCTTGAATTCCAGGAAGTGTTGAGTTAGCTGTTCTTTTTTTTTTTTGTTGTTTTCCCTTTTTTTTCCTTTCATTGGCAAGAGCTAATCTAATTCTCCCCCCACCACTCACTCATACCACTGCAATGCTAAATCTACTAATGAACGGAACCTAACTCTCAGACTGTATTACTCTGTAACCTTTGTAATCTCATGTTTCATGAGTGTGTTTACTGGAAACTGGAAACTCAGCGTTTGCCAGCTTACCAGAAAGGGGGGAAAAAGCTTCTTTTTGATAGATTTGTGGTTTCATCAATGGACGTCTATGAATGGAGACAAGTTCCTTTGGATAGTCAAGACCATCAAGCTAAAGTGAGACCAAGTCATGACCACAACCACAGTATACTGGAAAAACAAAAACAAGACTTTGAGGGGTTGACACCAAGTCAAAACCAAACCAGACCAGTGCGAGTCTCACACTGTCTAATATAGTTAATGATAAAATATGGGACATAAAAACTATAGCACTGTATCACTGAAACAAGTCCACTGAAGCATGCAGTATATACATAAGTAGCAAACACGTAAAGCTAATATTTGCTAAATCTCCTTGGGAGAAGGGGGAAGAGATCTCTGAAGAGCTTTGCTACTGAGGTGAATTTTAAAATGTTTACTATCTAGCGTTGCTAGCGGCACTTACTCTTAGCTTACCTAAGCGTTGCATTGTAAAAATGTACATCTTACTGTGTCTTTTCTTTTGAATGGTGTTTTACAGATGTACTCTTTGTTGCTTAGAATTGTCATTCTAACTGTGGTTTTGAGGATTTTGCTGACATCTCCTCTCAGACAACCAAAGCCTCTCCTCTTGTCTCCTGCATTCTCTTTCTTAAGGTCAATTTATGCTTTTTGTGTACAAGCAGTAGAGGCTACAGGACTTCGGAAGTGCTTTATTTTGTACATTCTTAGCATCAAAGGAGTTCAAATACAGTGGAAAGTAGGCGCCGAATAGCCGACAAGCCAACTATTCGTTCGCTGTGTTGGTATCGGGATACCAGCGAGAGTTGTGGCAGGACAAGTCGTGGCTGCTTCACCATGACAACGCGCCTGCTCACAACGCCCTGAGCATCCCACAGTTCCTGGTTGAGAAGAACATCGCCGTGCTGGAGCAACCTCCTGACTCACCCCACCTGGTTCTGTGGGATTTTTTCCTATTCCCCAAGCTCAAGGGGGTCATCAAGGGGACCCGTTGTGAAGACGTGGACGACATCAAGATGGTTGTGACGACGGAGCTGCAGAGGATCCTGGAAGAATCATTCCAGGAGTGCATGGCGGTGTGGCAGAGAAGGCTGGGAAAGTGTGTTAGACTCCAGGAGGATTACTTGTAGTTTGGATTTGAAATATATCTTTTGTGACACCAGTCCTGGAACTTTTCTGACACACCTCATGTTTATGTTCAAGAATAAATTAGACAATCCACAGGCAATTTATTGATATCAGCACAGTTGTGGCCTTGATCAGACTTACCGAAATATAATCTCGTACTTTTTTGTCTGAGACCGAAACAAGACTATGTAAAAATTCCAAAACGAGACCACTACAACACAACAGTGGAGAGAAACAGGAAATAAGTGGAAAGATATTAGAGAGCAACATGTAGCAAATAGTTCAGCCAGCTGGAAATGAAACCAGGGATCTGTGCTCATGTGGTATGTGCCTGAATCACCTCAAATTGAAATTAGTTCCTACAAAAAATATGAGCAACTTTTTCATTCCTAAAGCAGATGTGTATACAAGGTTTTTTCCAAATCTTTTAATGGAGTTTCCAAGTCCAAATATATTATCTGCTTACAGTTAGGACTGATAAAATGAAACTAAATGAACAGTATGTAAACTACAGCCTTGCAGCCTGGTTAGCTGAGGTAACTCTAGCTATAGGCTGCAGCCAAAGCGGTATTAGGGATAGGGGTATATGCACTGAACTGGGGATTAGGAATCTTAACAGGATTAGCCTCCCCCCTCCCCTCTATGTCCTACCCCTGTGTCCCAACACACATTTGGCCCTTGGACAGTCAGCAGGACTGTCTGTTGGCCGTTGCTTAGCCTCAAATCTGATTAGGCCACTCACAGTCATTCCTTACGGGTACAGCTTCAAGTCTTTGTGGTGGCACAGACGATGCAACGGCCGTTATGTGGCAGCAGAGATTGGCAGCTCTTTAGGACCACAGACGGGCCCTTTTGTTTTCTCCAAACTGGAGAGTTGTGGTTTTGTTTTAAATTGGTGTAACCTTGAAATTCAGAATTCCACTCTGGTTGTCAGGGGTTTTAACTCCAGTTGCACCGAGGCTTTCGCGCCAGGGCAGCGGAGGGCGTTCAAAGATGCGTTCTCTCTCTTCACCGTCCCTCTGCGTGAGGGACCTCAATATGGGGCCGAGTAGTAAGAGCCTGAATAAAGGGTAAGTGACTGTAAAATTGGTTGTGTCCGCATTTAACCAGATCAGCGTCATGTTTTTTTTAAGTATTGCTGAAACTGAATTGTTGCCTTGTTTAAGGTGTTTACAAACACTGGATTATTTTAAGTTTCATATCTTTTATTAAGGTGATGCAGTAGCTTTGACTCAGAACTTGATGACAGTCTTGTGAATGAGCAAAATGAGCTATGCCATCATACGCTGAGAAAGCAAACTTTTCTGCTGATTTAGACATCCTCGTCCTGTGTGCGCTCAAGATATCTAACGCATCCTGTTGGACAAAGGAAAGGCTACCTTTCCAGCTTTCCTGTCAAAAGAAGATCAAGGAGTTTCTTTACTGAAAGTCTTCCAACTGTCAAATTTACAGGAAAGACTTTCACACCCTCCTGTTTTTGCGATAACCAGCCAGTCTGAGAGCCAGAGTCACAGGCCGCTCTACGAGTTAGGCCTACATCGAACCCCACAAAAGCTCCTCTCACGTGTTTTCGGTGTTGCCATCGTGGTTTTTGCATTAGCAACAAGGCACAAGACATGTTGTTTCACCCAAGTCGCCTTTGGGATTAATGTGAATTAACAGATTACCTTTTAAGGCAAGCGATCAAACTTGTCCAGATTGCCGCTCTTTCAGGGAAAAGATTAATTGTACTCTTTTGGGATTTACAGTAAGACGAAGTCAGCTCCAATGTTCAGGGCCTTGTTGGTTTTTGCTGAGATTATCGCGTCCTAAATTTATGTTAATGTGGCTGTTTATGCAAAGCTGGATATTTGTTTTTAATGTTTTCCTCTATTCTGGACTTGGACTTAGCTACAACTGTGCTCTTGTTGTATGGGCACGCTCAGTAACACAGATGTTCATTCTTATGTGTCCCTCAGGTTTTCTCTGAACTCCGAGCTCCATAACCACTCCCTGGTGACGGTCATCGGTGGAGAGGAGGAGCACTTTGAGGACTTTGGGGAGAGTAATACCTCAGAGCTGCTGCTGGAGACCAGCGTGGACGGACCTGAGGGGGAGGGCGACTCACCTCTCACACAGCCCCCCGAGCAGGTCAATGGGTCGGCACTGCTCTCTCCCAGGTATGAGCTCGTCCTCCCTACACATCTAAACCCAGACTGCCTGAACCTTAGCGCCAAATTTGAACTAATTTGGACGAAAAAAATATGAAAACTTCCGAAGGATTCTAACATTTTTTTAATAGAGGCAGCAAAAAGGTTATTGAGCTGATGTGTATATTAATATTTCACCAGGCTGTGAGGTCACAACTTTGTTTCTATCAGCTTTTCTGATAAGATGTGTGACTGCTGCATTCTCAGTAACACTGCCCAGGCTTAGATGCATCTCTCTGCATTCTTCAGAGAAAATGTTTCTCTTTCAACAAAGACACTGAGGTTAAGCCTCAATCTGGAGACGTCCTTCCCACCCTTGTCTGCCTCCTTTTGTGGCCAAGGGCAAGATAAGATGGAGTGAATACAAATTTCAACCCTTCAGGCTTCCTTTCACTGTTGCAAAGACATAGAAAATGTGGCAGTGTGGCTAAATGCTATGCTGCTTTTCATTAGTGTGTGTTGGATGATCCTAATTAGTCTGAGTAAATGTTTGTCAGTCAGCCTGTCTTGGAAGTGGCGTCTGTGCCAAGTGTGCTGAGACGGACAGAAGTGGATGTTTTGTTGCGCTGCGTTCAGACATCTTAACAAGGCTTTGCCTCTGGGCTGCTGAAGCACAGATAGAGGTTGAGTCTAGCTGTTTGAAATGTCCATTCAAAACAAAAACACACCTTCGTACTCTCCAATTCATGGCACCATTCATGTTGAGAGTTGAGTTCCTATTGTAGCCTTTTCCTACTCATTTTTTTCCTCCCCCCTCCTGTTCTTCCTTTTTTTTTTTTTTTCGTCAGAGACTCTAAGCCGGATAATGCGTAATTCCCACTTGGGTGATATTTCCGTGATTTGCCTTTGCCAGGAAGCTCTTAACAGCTAACCACTGAGTTTCTGTAGCCCACTGACAATGTGGAAGTAAGCTGGTGTAACTGGATTGGCACTAATAATATTGTTTCAGTCATCACTATTAGAGACTTAAAGCACAATCTCTTGGTTAATTCTTACTGCTTTGTAGAAGTCATTGATATCATTAAAAGTCACCAGGCTAACATCGTTAGAACTATTTCCGTTATTTGATTCTAACCTGGATGCTTTGCATATGTGAGCTGTGTTATGAAAGTAGCAGTACCAGGATGTGTTAGGAAAAAAATGGCAAGAATAAATACGAGAGCTGATAAACATTTTAAAAAATTACTTAAGTCAGTAATTATTTTAAAGCCATTGTATAATATTTTTAAAGTAAAAGAATCCGTATGTGAATTATTTTGTTCCCATACAAGTTGGGCAGAAATCTGCTCGGTGGTTAGGCAGAAAAATTATACACACACAAAAAATAACTGCATCCCACAAAGTTCACCCACTCAGTGTGAATGCGTCACTGTGTTTTGAGCCAGTCATGCACATTGTTGGCGCATGTAGCAGTGCTGCCTACGCACACCCCCACATTTATCTATCTACATATAACAACACTTTGAGTACATGTGCGCACACTGCTGAGTTTCTTCTGTTCTACACAAACACACGTCCCCGTAGGCATCGTCTAACAAAGTGTTCCCTCACGCTCACGCCGAGAGCGACCATCAGTGGTGACGGTCCGTTCGGTCGTCAAGCGACTCTCGGCCTGTCGTGCAGCTGCCTACATAAGCAGGAACATGTGCCAGTTTGTTGCATAACTCTGACCTCCCTGAACGGAGAGTCAGCTGGTAGAGGTGAGATGAACGGAGCGTACAGGCTCCCAACAATGAACATAAACAACTGTGTGTTTAATGGGTTAACGCGGTGATCTTCTGAGCTCTCTGCAAAGGTGCCATGGTTGAATAGAACGGGAGTGTTTGGCAGCAGGAAGAAACTCTTATCAGGACTAAGGAGAGATTAACACATTCTTTATCCGACAAATGTTTTGTCTCCTTCCACCACCCAGAGTACAGATCACAGCCACACTGCCAGTCTGTTTCACGTCTCCTTCCCACCGTAGCACTGACACTTTCAAACTCTCCTGTGGATTTCACTGTTACCTCCTTCACCCCCCAGAGGTGTCCTGTCCCACCTGAATGCACCCCCCTTCTTGTCCGTCACTCACCACCTCCTCCTCCTCCTCTTCCTCCCTCTTTTCCTCTTTCCAGTGCACCCGCTTCTCTCCCTGACTGCTTTCAGAGCTTCCTCAGGGAGGAGGCGCTGGACTTTTTCTGTAGCCAGTGTCACAAACAAATAAGTCGTCTCGAGGACCTCTCCACTCGCCTCAATTTCCTAGAGATGACTAGGTAACACATGATTCACGACCTCCTCTGATTTGTGAGCTGTGTGAGTGTGCTTGCAGTGCTAATTAGACGCAGGATCACGCATGTTCTCATAATGTGTGCATGCTGTGTTGGACTAGCAGCCACATGGTGTTTTTGTTGGAAGGTACATGCACACACATTATGGTATATTGTGTGGGTCTGTTTTAAGCCCATTTTTTACTTCACTCTGTTCCCAGTCTTTCTTCATCTGCACCCTCTTTTTTTTTGTGAGTTTAGTTGCAGTGTTAGAGTTTTAGCATTTATTGATTTCAGTGGCTACATTGCACTTTGTAGATGGTGGCAACCAATCCCATCTCATTGTTGCCATCTACATAAACTTTCTCACTCATTAATAAACGATTTGCTCATCAGAAAACAAGCGTCATAATTTGTACATTTGAAAGATGCTGTAGAAATAATCCTGGGTATCACAGGTGAGTGGTGTCTATTTCAGTGGGTTGTTTTTTTTTCATTCTTCATAACATTGTCTTCATGCTTCTTATGAGTTATTGCAGAATGCCTCCTGCTAGTCGAGTACAACATTCAAACAACCTGCTTTTTATTGAAGCAGACTTGCTGATCCAGGATTAGAGACCAGTAGCCGTATTACAGAAACTTAATAACTCTGAAAGCTTATTTCACCAGTTGTGTAAACTTGATTTTTCTTTTTTTTAGGCCTTAGTCATTCTTTTCACCAAATTTAAAATCTGTAGAATATATTTAGATTTTCTTTTAAAGTTTCTGTAATACTGTCCAAGGCCTGTATTTATCTGTCAGGTAAAACTGATCCTAGTTCAGCAGTGTGTGTTAGATTGCTGTGGTGTGTGAACACTTGGTAGCTTTAGTGTCCACCTCAACATCTGTGGGGCTCCTCTACTAGTAGAGATAGGGATGAGGGGGAGGGGGGAGGGACAGGAGGGAAACTGGGAGATACTTTCTCTTTCCCCTATCTTTTTTCTCTTCCTGAACATTTTTCCTGTTGTTGTGTCTCCCCCATCCAGCGCTGGCAAGAGGCTGTCCAGCAAGAAAGTCGCAAGGTAAGCTAAACAGCTGCTCTGATTTCCGTAAACGAGGGCTCATGTTTCCAGCGTTAGACATATGAGCGTTGCTGTTTGGAAACAGCAGTTTGTCAAATGTAAACGGTTTCCAGGGAGTTATGTTTTTTTTTTTTTCCTCTTGGCGTGCAGACACCTCCTCCAGAACAGCTCGATGACTCTGGACACCATGAGTGACTTAACGCGGGACATCCTGGAGCTCGCCGACAACGACATCACAGACAAGGTGAAAAAGTTAACTGATAATCTTTTTTCAGAAGCGCTTTCCTTCACATCCGTTTGACCCTGTGAGCTGCCACAATTTTCATCTGTAGCAATTGTTAAAAGAGGAAGGAACGTTTCTTATTGACAGATACGTCAACGATACCGCGAATACATCACAGACGATTCATTCTAACAAAACACGCTCTCGCTCTCCAGGTGCTCCTCCTCGAGCGTCGAGTGGCGGAGCTTGAGAAGGAGTCTGAAGCATCGGGGGAGCAGCACGCACGACTGCGCCAGGAGAACCTTCAGCTGGTGCATCGGGCCAATGCTTTGGAGGAGCAGCTGAAGGAGCAGGAGCTCTACGCCGACGAACAGCTACAGCAAGAGACTCGCCGTCACAAGGAGGCCATGTCCAAGTTGGAGAGAGAGAGGGGGCTGGAGCTGGAAAACATGCAGGCCAGGTGAGGAGATCAGGAAGAAGTGGGTATGTTAGGAGCATCACGACTGCAAGAAAGGTCAAAATAGACTATTTTACTGTCCCAAACATTGATTTTATATTGTCAATTTGATCCTTGGGTTTATCATTTAGATGTATTAAAAGCAAAGAGAATCATAACATGTATTTATGAACAGCTGTCTGGATGTTTCTGATACTTTGTGATAGTGATGGAAAGTAACTAAGTACTTCTACCCAAGTAGTAACTTTCTACCACTGTCACACACTACTTTAAACTTCCACTTTATAAATAAATATTGTGTTTTGTACTACATTCATTCATTACTTTTCAGATGAAGATGTTGAACAATAGATAACATAATAGGTTTTTAAATTACACATTGTTCAAGATTAAACCAGTATTTTCCAACATTTTTTCCTTCTGATGTTTTACAAAAAGCTGTGTATAGTTTGGGTTGCACTTCAGATGTCTGAGTTGTTTCAAAGATCAGAGGAGGGACTGAAAACAGATTTTTGCATCACAACCTCTTTCTTCTTTTCTTTCCTATTAATCATTTCATGATCCCTCAGATTTATCTGGTGTCTGCTGTATATAAAACTGTATATAAAGTAGTTCAAACCAGCTCCACCTGCAGCAGCCACAACATGCTGCTGACACACTGAAGCTTTACTGATTATAATCCAATGATGTCATATTAAAAAAATATATTAGAGTGACCAAATCCATACTTTAACTTGAATACTTTAGCTACATTTGCTGCTAATACTTCTGTACTGCTCCATCAGTAGGATTTGTCATGCAGAATTTGTACTTCTACAATGTTTTATTGCTACTTTCCCTTAAGTAAACATTGTAAACACTTCCTCCACGACTTATTTGTGATGATTTAACTGCATATTAACCACAAAACCACTCAGTGTGTGGTTCTCTAATTATACTTTGGTTGTACCTGTTATCGTGTTTGTTGTATCTGTTGATTTAATGGTGTTGCAAAAACAAATTGCTTCCTGTGATGCCAGTAATTGCCATGTTGTTTGTTGGAAGACTCATGGCTCTACACTGCCACCGTCTGGCACTGATCTTCCACTGGATGTGTGCTGTTTGTCTGTGTTGTAGCATTGCTATCATTAAACAGTGCAGATATAAATATATATATATTTGCTTATGTTTGTTCCTCAGGCTGCAGCAGCTGGACGAGGAGAACAGTGAGCTGAGGTCTTGCGTTCCTTGTCTGCGAGCAAACATCGAGAGGCTAGAAGAGGTGAGAGCAATGTTGTCACGTCTGTATCTTTCCCCCATGTGGGCTCCTAACACAGTTTTATCTCTAGTTATATGTTTCATCTGTTCATGTTTTTCTCCTTTTTTCCTTTTAGTGTTTATTTTCTCCTGTGTCTAACACTTCTCTTCATTTTTATCCGTTTTTTTTTTTCCTTAGGAAAAGAGGAAGCTGCAGGATGACACAGAAGGAATGACCGACAGGCTTCAGGATGAGACCGAATCTCGCAGGAAGATGGCCGACAAGCTGAGCCACGAGCGCCACCAGAGCCAGAAGGAGAAGGAGTGCACTCAGGAGGTGGGACTAGTTTGTCCACGTACAAAACACAAACACTCTGTCTACAAAATATTACAATACAGCACTCAGTTAGACAACATCAGTGTTTTTTCAAGCATCCCAGGCTAAATTATAGAGAACTTGAAAGAATGAAACCTTTTCGCTCTGCACCTTTCATGTTCTGACTGATGTCTTTCTGATGCCACTTGGTCTGTTTCTATTCCAGCTGATTGAAGATCTGCGCAAACAACTCGAGCACCTGCAGCTGTACAAGTTGGAGGCTGAAGCAAAGAGAGGACGAACGCCCGGCGCCGGGTTACAGGAGTATCAGACCCGCACACGGGAAGCCGAGTTGGAGCAGGAGATCAAGCGACTCAAACAGGTAGCAAGCTCATTCTGAGGGCTCCTTAATTTTCTACCTGTTTGGACATTTTTTGTAGTGTTTTGGCTGCTGTGAGGAGACTGAATGATTTAGCATCCAGACTTTGTCCTTACATGACATTTGGCTTTACCTCTTCAGGACAACCGTACTCTGAAGGAGCAGAACGACGAATTGAACGGCCAGATTATCAACCTCAGCATCCAGGGAGCCAAGAATCTAATGTCTGCCTCCTTCTCTGACTCCCTGGCAGCTGAGATCAACTCTGTGTCTCGTGCAGAGGTGAGTTTAGAAAACAAGAAGCCTTCATTGTCGGACCACCTTTGTTATCAGCTGCATCCACTGACTTGTGTTTTTTTTTTCCACTTCTAGCTGATGGAGGCTATTCACAAACAGGAGGAGATCAACTACAGGCTCCAGGATTACATCGACAAAATCATCGTGGCCATCATGGAGTCCAACCCCTCCATCCTGGAGGTCAAATAGACGCCACAAAGCCAGAGGGCCACCCGCAGTCACTCCACGGGCTGTACAATATATCGAAGACATGGCTGAAAGACAACTACCAAGAGAGGATGTAAAAATATTCATTTTTGGTAGGAGAAAAAAAACAACAATGACGCACTCACCTCCTCCCCAGAAAAGGAAAAATTGAAGATTTCTAAGAAGTCCATGGCTGTCAGTGAAAAATAAGCTGTTTTTCATTTGGATATCCCTCGAGTCTGTGCTTTTTTTTTTTTTTTGTTCTTTTTGTGAGCGTATGTGTTCGCCCTCCTGAAAACACTTGGGTTCTGGTGACTTCCATGTATTTGGCTAGAGGGACCTGAGTCTCCCCCTGTTGAGTGAATGAATGTGTAAATGTGTGGTCAGTATCATAAAGAGTAGAAAACCTTCCTGTCCCTTTCCAAAAACAAAAAAAAAGTGTCAACGTTTGATTGAGCTAAAAAAAAAAAAAAAAGAAACGATCAGACAATTTATACCTAAAGGCCTTAAATGAAAGGTGATCAAAGTATTCATTAGCTACACCATACATGCCTCAGTTCAGGATGGTGGCGGTATGTGAGCTGAGATCTCCCGCACCGCGCTGATTCGCCGTATGAAGCGCCGGTCAGGAGGGAGTCTTTTAACATTTTAAGAGCTTGCGGTGCTGCCTACCAAGCCCTGTGTGTGTTCTGTCCTTTAACCAAGTTCAGCTGTCTTTCCAGTGAACCCAAGTGAGGGGACATTTCTACTGGGTGGCCGATGAGAAATGCCTGGAGGGTTTCGTTTTGCCGTTTTGTGTGAGGTGTTCGACATTCCTTCTGTTTTTTTTTTGCGCTTAAAGTTTTAAAGAAGGCGGAGGAGCATCACAGTCATTCCTGTGAGCTTCGATGTCCCAAATGAAGGAACTGGGCGGTTTATAATTTGCTTCGTCGTTTATTTTTACAATGAAACAGGGTCCTGGAGCTCAGATGGGCTGGAAACCTCAAGTGGAAAAGACACTACATTTCCCATCACTCCCTGGCACAAGCATTACATAACTCCAACTGAAAATACAGGCTGGATAATGACAACATACAGAACTTGCTAATACTGACAGTAAACTCCAAACACTTGAATTAAGCTTGAAGGGAAACAGATGAGTGATATCGGAAATTGTAGTTTTATTTTTTTACAGTACAGCCCGCCTGACTCCAGCGTTCTCTTGCTGAGTGAAAGTTGTAGGGAAGCTTCTTTCTTTTTTTTTCTACACAAGTGATTTGTTGTCTGTTATTGAGACTGAAACGCTGACGTTCAACAGCTCGTACGTGAAGAATCAAATGGTTGTATTTTTGCACTACATTTTGATTTCATTATTGTTTTTGTTGATAGAAGAAGAAAATGTTTATTGTGAAGGGATCAAATCATAAATTAAGATCATTTTGAAGCCTGTATGAAGATGACTACAGATGTTTCAAAAAGAAATAAGCATCACATAATAGAATTTAATTGAAGAATCCAACAGAACATACTGCAGCCGTATCTGAAGATTAGTTGAATTCTCATTTACATACTGTATTTTTTCAGTCATCAAGAGTTCAGATGAGCTCCTCGCTGGCTGTGAGCCGGCTTTCTCTTGACCTGATCTGCATATATCATTGAGGAGACGTGGCAGACCTTGGTAGCAATAATGCTTGGCAAGAAAGTGGACATTGGTGGAGGGCAGATTTTTTTTTTTAAAGAACTGCTCCGTATCTCCTCTACTGAAGCAATTTCTGCTGTTTGGCTGCGAATCAGAAGTACAGCAAGCAGACGTATGGACTGATTGTGTGCTTAATCGGTACTGTGCAGCCATCTCTCTGGACGTTTCTTTTCCGACCTGGATAACAGACATTTGGATTCACACACGGATTTCTATAACCGAAGTTGTGTGTGTGTGTGTGGGGGGGGAGGTTATTTTTGTCCAAACAGCATGGCGTTCTGCACCAGAAGATATTTTTCACCCCGTTCACCTCTAAAACAAATCTCACTGCTCTCCTTCACCTGCCACTCCACAGGAAAAAAAAAAATGGCCTTGGATGTAAATGACTTGTACATGTAAAGTTTTTTCTACACTCACTCTAGATTCTAGGTATTTTTATAGTCAGAAAAGAAAAGAGCATTTCTTTTTCTCGTCTTATGCTGAGAGACAGCTGCCTGTATTCTTCTCTAGCATGTAGCGTGTACAGTATCTGTTGGGATTTTTTCTTTTTTTTTCTTTTTCTGTTTTCCTCTCGTTTAAAATCACGCGCAGATATTTATTCAACTCACAACTCTGTGATCTGTTCTGCTGAAGATATGTTTGTACATTTTCGCGAGGGGAGATGAATCTGTGGGAGAATTTATTGATTTAAGGGAAAAGTTTTAAAAGGAAAAGCTATATTGTCGTTTTTTTGGGGGGTGCGAGTCGCCGTCGTGTGCAAAAAGAAAAAGAAAAAAAAAAAAAACTTGAATGTGACCTGGTCGTTTGTGGAGGTCTGTGCACTCTTCCAATAACGCTGATGTTGCTTTGACCTCTACGGGGTTGTGATTTCGAGACGGCAGAGGCGGCAGTTTCTGCTGTTGTCTTCCCAGATGGAGTCAGGTACTGCATGGAAACACAGATTTCTTCTTGTATATTTCTGATTCACTTATTTGACGGACAAATCATACGCTATAACATCCGTCAGTGGAGTTGTAGGTTGTGAGACCTCGTGATGACACCTTAAACCTCATATCCGGGCTTGCTGAGTTCAGCTTTTCTGCCTTTTAGCGTGACTGGAGGTTTCCCCCCCTCCCCCGTACAGATTTATTTCTCTATAACGACCAATCACTTACGACAGGGTGACACCTGAACACGACCCTTAATTCTCTCCTCGATTCATATTTTTATCGTCTGCTTCTGACAGATAGTTTGAGGATCGGCAACAGTATGATTAGACAGCGAGACCACAGAGCTGATTACAAAAAAGAAACATTTGCACTTTAACCGGATCTAATTTCTCCATTTTAACACCTGTTTTTAAAAATGACCAAAGATAGATGTTTGAACCGATCGCTTTATCTATCAGGGTCCGTGATCACACTTTTTTGGGAACACTTGCCTCTTCTTATAAATCACAAATCAACAGCTTGTCCTGGAAGACAGAGTAAGAACTGGCCTGCTAGTCTAAACACTGTGCCTCTGTGTCTCAAACTTTGCCTCTAAACTAAACCTGATAATGAGCCCTGGGGAAAGCACTGACCACGTGACTGTCAGTTTGTTAAATTATATTGATGAAACCTAAACTGTAAATATGAATTGTCTTTTTTTTTTTTTTTTTTTTGTGGACTATTTTTTTCTTTTCTTTTTTCCTCTCACGCTCACTTCCAGTGTCCAAAGAAAGTTTGCTCAAGGCACAAACATCACTACTGGAGTAGTGCATGGCTTGCCGTCACGTGACATGGGAAGATTTAAAAAGAGAATATTGTAGAAAAGAGAAACTGTAAAACTTAAATTTATTCCTATTTTCAAAGATAAATGTATAAATTATAACAGTATTGGTTACAGCTGTATATTATTTTTGAAGATCCCCGAAATGATCTAATCCTAATTGTTGCTGGGGAAACATAATTTCAGTCATTGTAAAAAGAGAAAATTTAAAGGTAAGCAGTGAAAGTAAGATTAGAAAAATAAATGGAATAAAAGGACCTGTGTTTGGTTGCCTCATTTCTTTGTTTGCAAGATTTCGTGTTGTGCTGTGTGATTGCATGTTGTGTATCTGGGACCAGAGCGTATAACAGAAAACCATCAACAGAATTAATTTGACAGACAAAAACATGTCATTCATTACGACAAGCAAGAGGATAAGTCACTTCAGATCACATGTTGCACTAGTTGAGCAAAACTTCTTCTCATGTAGACACCAGCTGTATCATCGTGTTGATCGCAGAATTATTTAACTACATACAGACCCTGGAGGTGTTTCTCTGGTTTGTAGCTCACTTGTCCATCACCAGTTACAGAATACAGTGTCACTGACTTCTCAGCGCCACCTGCTGGTTGTGAAGATGCTCTGCATGAGCCGTCAAGTGGTGGAAGAAGCACTCAGATTCTTTAGTTCAGTAGAAGTACTAACATCCATCCATCCATTATCGATACACCACTTAATCCTCACTAGGGTCGTGGGGGTCCCAGCTGACTTAGGGCAAAGGCAGGGGACACCCTGAACAGGTCACCAGTCTATCACAGGGCTACACTTAGAGACAGACAACCAAGCACACTCACATTCACACCTATGGACAATTTAGAATCACCAATTAACCTCAACATGTTTTTGGACTGTGTGGGAGGAAGCTGGAGAACCGGGAGAGAACATGCAAACTCCACACAGAAAGATCCCGGGTGTCCTCAGTGGGACGAGAACCGGCGACCTTCTAGCTGCGAGGCAACAGTGCTACCAACTGCGCCACCTTGCAGCCCATCAGCAACAATATAATTACCCAGAATTTCTCGACCTTAACGGAGGAGACGAAGCACAATTTCAACTCATAATAAAGTAACTGACCCAGAACCTGCAGATAAAAGATAGAACTTGAAGCCTGGATGGACTAAATGTGACATCTTCACTACAGTGGGTCTGCATCCTGAGCACAACAAACACACTTTTGACATAAGTGTCTTACATGTACTTATCTAATATAATTTTAAATTGAAATTATCTTATGAACTTTACTATTAAAAAGGAGAACTTCAGCAACATTTCCAGCCTTTTTAATCAGGTGAGCTTATGATACAAGCAAATGACTGGAGTGCGTGTGAGCAACAGAAACAAATACTGTGGTGGAAATCTGTGAACAAACAATACAACTCAGTCATTTCTTTCTGGTAACTTATCAATCATTTGCAAAGGTCAGAGATGTCCACAGCACATCACTTTATTTTTTCTCCCCCTGCACAAACAGTTGTCACCCTGAACTCTAACCAGGAAAGAGCCCAAGATTGTTCATATGGAGAGATGTGCAGGTGTGAAACAGTTTATATTTTCACACTAGATGCTTAATAAATTCACATAATAAATGTATCCTCCAACACAAACAATTTGTTGGAAAAAAAATAACATCAACAAGGCATTGTGCCGTCATAATATAAGTCTCAGCCAGACCTCCACTTGTACAAAAAATAAATAAAAAATACTATTTAGCTCTGCCACTGGTTATGTGTGGAGCTATAACATGAGTGAAAGCCTTAATTTTCTGAAATCAGGGCTGCCATGTATCATCTTCAATGATGTAGTAACCAATTACTTAATTATTTGAATGTATGCCAACATTACCATATTAAGTCACTGTTTTTATTCCACTTACACATTCTAATTTATTAATTTGCCTTTTGTTTGATTTGTTCATCAACATCTGAAGTGATATACTGATTATTCTTAAGCGTTACCAAAAAAATCGTAGGTTTCTTGAATGCCACACCGGACAGACTCTGCGCGGAACCAATGTTGTCCGTGTTGCTCCGCACGACCGTATTTTGGTGGAGCACCGAAGAAACGAGCGGCTCTTCGGCATGACGCTGTTGTCAAAACGCGAAATTTTCCTCGGAGCTGCAAGTTTCACCTCGAAAAGAAATATTTTAATATCACCGTTGGTATCAAAACATTTCAGGAGCCGCTACATTAATTTCTGTCGTTTTGTTTAATAAAAAGAAAAGGTGCGTATCACATTTTACAAGCTAACAGTTGAAGCTAATTTGCTGAAACTATAAACTTAGTTCTTTGTAGCACAATTGCTCGCTATTTTTTATTATTATTATTATTATTCATATAACCCGCATACCGTGTTTTGAATAGTATGTTTCTTCTTGTCAGTTAAAACTCGTTTAAAACACTACAATTTTGAGCCAAACCGTCCCTTTAATGCTTCTGTTCAGGAGGTGATGCTAGCTGCTGTTCACAAATGGAGCATCCTTCGACCAACGCTGAGGTTCGCCTCACTGTGAGCCAGTGTTTCCGGACACTCACCTCATCCCCGGACAGTAAAGACATTGTCAGGACACTTCAAACACTCCACTCCTACCTGGATGGAGGACCAGAGAGCACAACCACCGCAGCCCAGCAGGCAGAGTTCAGGAGAGCTCACTACAGTCGCACTCTGCAGCTGCTTGTGAGCAACATCCAGGCAGACTGGCTGCACAGCTTCACAGCAGCAGAGCGCACACAGCTCTGGGACGGTCTGTTCCTCAAAGGCCCTCCGGATCAAGCGCTGCTGGTGCTGCTGGAGGCCATAGGGGAGCTGAGGTGGGTGTTTGGATCGAGGATGAGAGACATGTTTACTGTTTTGTCCATTCACTAATCACGCTGGTGTTTTCTCTTTACTGCAGACCCAGCAGTAATCTGGACCACATGGTCAGCATCACTGAGAAGTTCCTCCAGAGTCATCGTCTGGCCGAGCTGCTGTGGTCCTACTGTCTGCAGGCAGCTCCCTCTGACTCTCCACAGCTCAGAGAGACTCTGCTGGGACGCATCAGCGCGCTGCCGGACCTCACCGCCAACAAGCTGCGTCTCAACAACAGACCTGTTTTTCTCCCTCAGCAGTACTACCCGTTGCTGGCCACAGAAATGCTCACGGCCCTGGAGCGCACCTGCCAGGCGCTCAGAGGTTATTGAACATCTATGAAGCGATTTACAGTGATAGCAGTTAAATGTTGCTGTTGTATTTCATTTCTCATTCTGTCTGTTTGTGTGTAACTTGTCATTCACAGATGGCACAGACTGTTCTTTGACTTTTGTGGCTCAGGTGATTGGGAAAGTGTGCATCCAGGGACACAGTGGTGAGTTTAATTGCATTTTTGGACAGTTGCAGTTATGTGGTTTCTATATTGCCTGGTGTTTGTGCTTTAAAGGCTATGGGAACACTTTGATTTTTGAACTAATTAGCATAGTTAAAGCTCATAATAAGGAAGCAATTAATTTTGGGTGGCTGTTGACGGCTGTAAGTATGGGTAGACTGATTACTGTATCTGATATCCAACATTTTTCCAAATATCTGTATCCTTTTCTTACTATTTTGTTTTTCTGATTCCCAATATCCTTCCATTATCTACACACCGCTTAATCCTCACTGGGGTCGCAGGAGCCTATCTTAGCTTACCTGGGGCGGGTTACATGTCTTGAGTAATAGCATAGTAACAATGATGGAAAACATACATAATATACATTGAAAAACATTTTAAAAAGAGGCATTTTGCCCAAGTTTTGTGTTGAAGTTTTTGTCCAAATTAAAGATTTTGAGACCTAGAGTTTTATTTTTACTGTAAATATATATATATCGGTTCCAAATACCAGTTATCGGTCTCCTGATTACCAGGAATCATTGACTGTATCAACCCTGACTTACACATATTAGTTGACCTCTAGTTTTAAATGTAGAAATGTTTGGCCACACCAAACTTTTCATGTTAATCCTGCCTGTAGCATGTGCTTGTCTCAAAGATTAAGCCTTGTAAAACTGAGTACACACTGCCGGTACAGTAAAACTTCGAATGACTCATTAAATCAGCTACAGCTACTTGACTGCTGTTTCTCTGTTCAGCAATTGCAGGAAAGAAATGAACTTCTGGCAACTTATTTGACACAGAATCCCCTTCATCCTCCTGTGGTGTTCTTGTCTGTCTACAGGATTGGTCCTGGCTGTGATGGCTCCTCGACTCTCCGTCTGCACACGCTCAGACATGGTCTGGCAGAGGGTCTGCTGGAAGCTGATGGAGAACGTTCCTCAGCGATGGATGGAGAGCGTGCTCACTGGGCTGGTGCAGGCTGTCAGGGGGTAAGATGCCTGCAGCCTCAGTCAAGCTTGGATAGTCACATGCTTTTAAACAGCTCTCTGTTTTCTGTCTGCATTTAATGATGCCAGTCTCTCGCCTGTTTTTTTCAGGCCTGATGCCTTGGGGAGGATCATTGGGAATCTGGTGTTAACAAATAAAAATGTTCAGTTTGTCATCACTCATAAGCTGCTGTTACTACAATACAAGTATGAGGTAATACATTAACTAACCACCAAATCTGATGTTTTGTAAACATTATCTGAAGCATGTATTTTAACTCATTGTATTTTTCCTAGAGTCAAGTCTTGAGAGTTGTTCTGGGTTACCTCGCTGCAGACAGAGATCGTAGACCGCTTCTCATCCAGGTGAGAAGTTCAGCTGCCTTATATAATGTGTATATTATAAAATGATGTTACCTATACTTGACAGGATTGTTTGTGTGTGTGTGATTTCAGGTATTACGGTCTGTATGCCAGGCCTGGGCTAACCCCAGTGCAGTGAAACACACACCTCTGGAGCAGCAGTTGTATGTCAGCAAGGCCTTACTGCTGAGTGTGAGTCTGCTGAAAGACTCGGAGCTACAGGAGCTACGCTCAGGTACAATCAAGTTTTCTGCAGCATCTCACCCAATAAATCATTGGCCATAGTGTAAACTATTGACTCTAATTCTTCCGAAACCTGTTTTGGCCTTTAAAAGCTTTGTTTACAAATTATATTCTGGCATCTTTATTAAATAATGGAATTTTGACATTTGTCACAGATTTGTAGATGTTAAAAATTCTATCATTTTTGAGCACAAGTACAAATAAAACACGACAAAAGATGTTTTTCACTCAAAGAAAAAGATGCTGCTAATATAAAACTTATAATAACAAGCTAACACTTAGACCTGACTTCAGATGTTTTTATGTAGTAGGAGCAGCAACAGAAGTATCACATTGTTCAAATAAATTAATATGCAGTAGATGATTGCTTTAAGCTCCTCTCTGTGTTGTGTGTCCTTCTTAGAGTTACTTCAGTGTATGCTGGGTGGCATGCAGAGCCACCTCGACAGCAGTGTGGTGCGTATCAGGCATATGGGCATGGTGGTGGGAGAGTGTCTGAGCTCCCGCATGGATATCAATGGAACCAAACTCAAGTTTGAGGTACAGTCAGTGTATAACTGAGGGAGTAGAATGAGCAAATCAAAATATGAATCATGACTTGACTGAAATGTAATTGTGAGACATTTTGTATTTTTCTGTTTTGCAGTATGAGCAGGATGAAGAAACCCGTGAGCTGCTTTCTCTCATGACTCCTGTTACTTGTGATGAGCCAGAGCCTGAGCCTGAGCCTGTAAATGGGTACGTACAACTCACTAATCAATTAGCTTGTTCAGTAATGAGAACACAAGGTCCACACTCATTATTGGTTCCTATCAGATGATGCACTCTAATGCTATGAGCTTTCATTTTGGATTCTTAAAGCATTGTCTACAATTTTACTTAGTGAGAATCTATACAACTAAGTCTTATGGATTGTAAATGATGTGCAACAAATGTGGAAGTTTTAAGAGACTCTTATTCATTTTTATGCATTACTATCCCTGTATTTGTATTGTATTTAATTTAATCTGTCATCTGCAGAGTCGACTCTCTTCAAGAGACCAGTGAAACAATTCCATCTACTCAGAATGCATCGTCGCAAAGTAAACCAGCACCTCAACCATCAAAAGCCGATCCAGACTCAGACCTTGATAGGTGAGTGTCTCTGTTATGCAGTCAGTAAAGCTAACGTCCTTTCAAGCATTCGTCAGTCATGTGCGTTTTGTTGTACATGCATTGTTAACCACACGGCTGTTGTCCGTCCAGTGATGATGAGCTCACTCCATACGACATGTCTGGAGATCAGGAGACCAGTCAGGCTTCCCCACCTCGCTACCTACGAGACTGTCTGGAAAGTACGACTCCACAGATCTAATGTCTTTGTCTTAAACGATCCTATAATGTAGTTGTTTTAAAATCGTGTCCCATTTTCTTATGTGTCGATCATCACAGTTTTAAAGTCCTCCGAGGACTCAGTGCGCGTGGAGCTCAGTTTGAGAGCTGCAGAGAGTTTGGTGCGGAGAAACGCCTTCACAGCCAGAGAGGTATGATGGGAATCACAAAACTACAGCACGACCTACAGGACAGTGATTTGAGTTTGTTTTTTTTTTTTCTGGGTGGTAATTGTTCTTGAATTTTAATTAGAACTAATTTACAGATCATCCTCAACATTACAGTTCATGTTTGTTCTTATTGCCATTTTCAGATCAGTGTCCAGATGTCCAAAGTGCTTCTTCACATGGAGGATAAATACAACATCATCGGCTTCCTGAGTCTCCGACAGGCGACCATGGTGGCTCTCACTGTCACAGACTGTATTCCTGTAGGTTCCCTTCACTTTCACGCTGTTTTTCTTCTCTCACAAAAATAGCTTCATCACTGTATTTTAGCTTTTTTTTCCCTAAATCACACTGTACCTCTATATATTCTTTGATAGGTGACTCAGTATTTGACCACAGAGTTTTACTCCTTGAACTACAGTCTTCGCCAGCGGCTCGATATCTTGGAGGTGAAAACACCAGCTTCATTTAAGAGATCCTCTTTAATTGTTGCCACACACACCATGTAATTAAGAGACTGGTCTTGCTCTGGCATTGTAGGTCCTTGTCGTAGCAGCTCAGGAGCTCTCCAAGCCAATCACTGAAAAGACAACTCCATCCATTGGCCCTGCTACTACCTCTGAGTTGACCCCATACCCGGGTGACAACCCTGTTCACTGGCAACAAGTGGTAGAAAAGCGAATCCAAAGCAAGACAAAACGCCTCAGTAAGGTACGTGAAAGCAAATTTGAGTGAAACCTGAACTCCTGAGATCTTCAGTAATTTGCTGTCTCGTCTATACAGGGTGCCACGAAGCCTGTAGCTATGGCGACCCCAAACCGTTACGCCCCTGTTGCCGGACACTTCTTTTTTCCTTTGCTCAGGAACTATGACAAGTATGTTATTTTATGCAAGTTTTAAAACTCAGCAGTCATAATTTGTTTGTTTAAATGTACAGCAGAACATTTTCACACCGTGATGTCTTTCTGCAAGGCCTCAGGTGACCTTCGACCTGTTGGGCAGCGACCACTTGGTACTGGGCCGGCTCATCCACACTTTGGGCCTCTTTGTGCACCTGGCAGTCAATGCACCGGTAGTTTCATCTGTCTGTTTATTCTAGTGTGGTCTAATCTCAACATGGAGACTAAAAGTAGCATTTTTATATATATATAAAAGAAAAAAAGCACATCGATGGCCAGGTAGTTAGGAGACTCACTGTTTATTTTACTAATCTGGAACCATTGTCATTTAGATACTGGAGCTTTTATGTATACGCACATGCAGACATGATGCTAACCTGACTCTACATGTTTGTTTTCAGATAGCTGCACAGATGGGTCGAGCTTTGCTAGACTTTGTGTGGGCGGTTCGATACCATGTTGACCAGTATGTATGCTGCACATTTGTCTCACTTGGAACTGAAGAAATGACTGTGAATCTGAGGAAAATATTTGTCGCTGTTAACAATATTGTGACGCAGAATTCCTGCTGCTAACCAGGCTTTTTATCATCAACAATAACTGAGTAGCTATTTGACAAGGACCCTTTCTTTGCAACATGTTTTGTCACTTTTTTCAAAACTGTAGAGTTTTGGGGAAAAGAAATGTCAGGAAACCTTAACAAACTATAAGGTCTGGCAGTGATGTATTCTGATTTTGTTTTAGCCTGAGCTCTAATTTGAATTCTGTTTCTTTAAGGATGGTGAGACGAGGCGTCCTCTTCGCCGTCTGCTCTGTGTTTCTGAGCATGCCCAGTCAAAACCTGCTGGTGGACCTCAGTGATCAGCTGTTTGAGACCAGAGCTTGGCTGGCAGGTGATAAATAGAAACGCTGCTGGTGCTGAAGTGGCTGTGGTTCCTCCTCAGTGGATGTAAACATAGAAAGTTTCAAATAATGTAGATGAATGCAATTAAAATCTCTCCATCTGTTGACAGATAAAAAAATAGGTAGAGCCTAAAACACATGCACTTTGGTCTAAAACTGCACCTGCATCATGCAATTCTATTAGCAACATCCCTTCACTAACACACATGTATGCATGCACAAACACACAGCCCACACGTGCACAGCCAGAGTGATCATTTCTGGGAAGTAGATGAGGAACCAGGATGTCCTGTACCACATTTCTGTGACGTAATTTGCTGATGAACAGCTGCATTTATTTTTTTTTCATACCGATGAGGATAAAATTAGTTTCACATTGGAGTGACAAGGAGATGAGTGACACAGTGCAACAGATGTATTTTCCTTTTTACAGACTAAATTGTGCAGAGAGAATTCCAGCATAAGGATTAAAATGCTGTTTTTTTTCCTGTAGTTACATGTAAGATCAGTGGTCTTATCTTCACCAATGCTGAAAGCTGCTAATAATCATTTTTGTGTTGTTTCTATCCTCAGATGTGGCAGAAGGAGACCCTGATGCAGACTGCCGGAATCTGGCTGTGCAGAGTCTGGTGCTGCTGGATAAGAGTTTGAAGAAGCAGCTACAAGATCCACAAACGTTAAGTCTGGAGTCGTGATCCCAGCATCAGCAGTGAACAATGAAAGTCTGTACGTGAGAATAAACACATATTAACAGAGATTATTGCACTTCCACCGGCCCCCTGGTCCTCATAGAGACTGGGGTTGGTGGAAATGATGTTCCGGATATTTGCTGGCACCGGGGGCTCGGCCTGGTGGAAATGGATGATCCCGATGATCCAGTGACGGATGTCCTTCGAGCTCCGGAGCTACTTATTGCAGGTGCTGCACATTTTATTTCATTTCCTGGAACATACAGCCAACCAGAGGAAAAGACGGGCACATGTCTTCTTGCACGTTTGTGAAAGACTTTGTGCATATTGCACATTATAATGCACTGCTTTGTTCATGTGAAGATCTGGTGTATAATTTATGGACCAAATAAGATTAATAAACTGAAGAACAGGCTGCCATTTTTGTCTTAAATTGGAATTTTGAAAAAAATAAAAATAAAAAGGTATGTTCTCAGGATATCCTTTTCACCATCTTTCCTGTGCGGGAACTTGTCTCTGTACTCTGCTTGTTTGTTTGTAAAGGACATCCTGTGAATATTCACGTGCATTCTCACACATAATGGAAATACTACTACTGCTGCTTCCTGCTGTCAGTGGAACATGTTCGTCTGTATGTTCTGAAACTATGAAACTATGAAATAAATGGTGGTTTGGTACAAGCGGCTTTGATGAGTTTGGTTCAATAAATATAAGGTTTTACATGTTAACTAGACAATTTATCGTTCACTTTTTTCGATGACTTCTTGGGCAAATTGTTACTGACACTTCTAAATGAATATTATTCTGAGAGAATGAGGCTGAAAGTAGCTGGAGTTACATATAGAGAAGACAATAAACATTTAGAAAAATGGGTGTAAGACTAAAATTGTGTTCAAATACACAAAAATTAACAGTTAAACTATTGGTCAAAACTCACAATGGAATACAAGATCATGTCAGTTTTCTGATAAATACAAATTTCTTCACTGGGTTAGGCATATAAAAAAAAGAGTAAATAAGTCTAGTCATTATTACTGTCTTTATTTAGGACAAAGAAGAACAACAGTACTAAGAAAAAATGCTGCAAAATAATCTAAAAGTGAGTCCAGAAAATATTAAATCCACAAACGTCCATCTCAAAGATTACATTTAATTAAATTTATTTAAAATGTCATGTTTTGTTTGACCAGCAGTAGTGAAAGTAGTGTTAGGAGCTAGCTATATTTAGATTAATGGTTGGAAAATGACAATAGAAATAGTTATTTATGAAATATGTCCTCTGTCCTTACTAAACATGGAACGCAGTTGCATCAGATACAATAGTGTGTACTGCATATCTTACATTAAAAAATAGTTTATGCATATTAAATTTATGTGTAGTCAAAGTCTTATCTGAACACACTTTTGCATGATAAATTCCTTTTTTATCACACCTAAACATAAAAATGTCACAGCTGAAGGCACTTCTTTTTTCTAAGTGTGAAATGTGCTTTGAGGACTGTGTATTAAAAATGCCAACATTTTTTTAAAAATAATTTTACACCAAAATCGTATATTCTATGTATAGGCTTGCATGTGTGAAAAAAAAAGAAAAAAGAAAATTAAGAAAAGCTGTGGAAACAGCGTTTCAAATAAATTGACCACCTTCGACAGCAAGTCGGGATTCTTCGGGCTTTTCCGTAGCTCCACCTCCTGTTCAGCCTGCGAGGTTGTCAGGGGCAACTGTGAGAGACGCTCTGTGCACAAACGGCAGTAACAAGACAACAGTGGAAGAAATGGTCGATGTCTGTTGCTCTTTCTCGTCGTAACAAGTGAGTTGACGTTAACTTGAAGAAAGCGACCCTGAGATAACTTAAACATACTGGCAGACTTCGTTTTACGTTAGCGGGGGCCAGCCACAAATGCTAACTTTGGCTAGCTCATTTAGCTTAGCTAATGTTAGCCGCTAGTTAAAGCTAACTTAGGTTAGTCGTTTGTCACATAATGCTACTAAGGTGAATGCTAGCTAATTGCGAAGTATTATGGAGAAGTCATGGCTTCGTTTAAGTCAGCATTATTTAACTGTATACAATAGTAAACTAACGAACTAAGTGAACTACATGCAAAGTGAAATTAAATACTTAAATCACTGGATGCTCTTCGAGGTTGCACTTTAGAGTTAACTGTGATTAGCCGTCTGTCAAACGTGAACTAGCCAAACAGCTAAGCAACTACCACTGGGAAATGAAGCTGTACAACAAACAGAACACGTGAAGTCAAAGAATGCACCGATCAACTATCACGAGAGATTCTAGGTAGCTCCCATCTCATGATTGTTGTTTCTAATCTAGGGAGAAATACTGGGGACATGGCGGTGTATTTTGACCACCGTATTGAAGCCCCTGAAAGAAGTGATGTGCCCTGTCTTTTGACCTGGCACTCGGCTCTTCCTGTTCTGGCTGTGGCCTCAAGCAGTCCTGCCACTGGAGGCAATGTAGACCTCTACCTGCAGCAGGTAAACACTGGAACTGCAACTGTTCTATTTTCCAATATTTACTGCATGTGAATATCATAAATGACACTTCACTTATCAAATGATGCATACTTAAAACTACTTCTGTCCATGTACAGGGAGAGCATGTGGAGAGCTGTCAAATAGAGCGTCCTTTCCTGCCCATAGTGCTGCGCTGGCATCCCACAAAGCCAGTATTAGCAACAGGCTGGGAGAATGGGGAGGTAGTGCTGCTAACACACCCCTCTGGAGATCAGACGGTCTTGCCCAGCACACATACAGCCTGCATGACACTGTTGGAGTGGAGCAGCTCGGGTAGCCGCTTGGTAACTGGTGATCAGGTGAGTGCGTTGCAAGAACTATTCACACGGACTCATTGGTACATACTGCATTTACATGTCATCTACATACTGATGCACTCATAGTTGGTGGATATGCAGGTGCGCCAGGTTTTCATACGTAATAAACCTGCTTTTTTGTCTGGGAATATATGTCGAAGGCTGGATTACCAACATTGCAGTTTAGGCACAAGCCTTAGTGGGGTAATCTAAGCATGAATCGCATCACTTGTGTACGCAAATGCAATCTGAGAATTACTTCCAATTTCTTCTTCTTGTGCTGCATAAATATACTCTAATTGTTTACTGACAGACTGGATCTCTGGCAGTATGGAAGGTAGATGCTAGGGGGAGACTTCAAGGAAACCATCTAGTAAAGCATGACTACAGCAAGCCTCTAACTTGCTGCATCTTCAAACCTGCTTCACCTGGAGAGTAAGTAGTTGGATGTTCCTCCTAGTAGACCTAGAAGTGGGATTAGATTGAAACCACTGTGACTTCACTGTGTCCTCTTGAACTGGGTGAAGTGTTGCTGATTGTAGGCCCAACTCTTCTCACAGTGACGTAGCAATGCTCGCTCGGGCATCAGTGAGTGGAGATGAGAGTGCTCTGGACATGTTCAGTTGGAAGGGAGCACCTCTAAAGATGGGTCCGCAGGAAGGACTTGCATTCTACGTCAGTACTGCAGATGGTAAGAGTTTGTTGAAGTAGTTCATTTCTTTGCCTTTTTTTTAGTCTTTGTCTGTGGCTGTCAGTTTTCCACAATGTCAGAACTCAGCATATAGTGGGGTTTTTTTTGCTCCTGTGAAGCAGCAAGCCTGCAGGAGTCTCTTGAAAGAAGAGTTGTGAAAAGAAAAGCGTTTTCACTGGGCGAGGCATTGCTATTGATGTAAAATCCAATCACATCTCTACAAAATATGAACATTCTGTGCTCTAAGGCAAAAGATATTCCACTTATTTAATCTTTGACCCTTTTCTAAATCAATGTTTTTTGCAGTTTGTTACTTTACCTTTTATTTATTATAGACTCCCTTTCTTGCCATATACATATATAAGTGACCATATATGGTAAATTTATTAATCTTGATTTGCAACATTTTTTTTTTATGTCACAAAACTAAAAATATATCTTGAAATGTCCTTCAATAACACCCTAGGGTTGAAATTGTCATTTTCCAAATATTTCAAGGAGCGCCCTATAAACGGTTAACCCTGTGTTCCTTGTATGTAGGTAAAGTTCATTACGTGGATGAACAGTGTAAGACAAGTACACTTCTCAGTGTAGAGGGCTCCATCAAGAAACTCTTCTATATTGAGAAGAGGGAGGCCCTCGCAGTCATCACAGAGACCCTCATGCTGTCACAATACACTCTGGGACCTGACGGTGCAGCCACGATGTTTATGAAGGTATATAAAATTCTCAAAAAATGGTGTCTTTCTAATCAGATAGTTGTATTTGCTAATTCAGATAGTCTTGTTTGACAAAGTGCATCAGTGTTGTAGGCTAACAAAAGTTGTATTAATTAATGTAATTGTGTTTTACTGAAATTCTACAAGAATTGACTAGTAAAATCAACATTAATGCAATTCTTGAAGCCATAAACACATTTATACTATACATTCATATTTTTGTCTGTTTTATTCAGTGTCATGTCTAAAGACTAGCCTAAATTAATGCACAACTTAGTTTGTGAACATGTTTTCACTGACAGGTCAAATTGAGCAGCAGGTCTGGGCAGAACATGGACGTTGTCTGGACAGAAAACAGCCTCCTCATCACAGCGACAGGGGAACCCATCGTCAGGTGTCTATAATCGCACTGTTTGTGTATGCATAATAGCCCTTTTGAAACTCAAGTAATAATCTGCCTCGTGAATTTTTTAGGCTGTGGGACCTGGAGGGAGATGACAACTATGTTTTGTGTCTTGATGAGACTCTGGGCTTTGAGAGGGGAGAGATGATCAACTGTGTTTCATACTGTCCAGGAAAAGGTAACTGAAGTGTTTTTGTCACACGGTATGGTGTTACTGATGGTGTGCAGACTTCAAAACAAACCTCATTGCATTTATATGTTATCCCCAGAAATCCTAGCAGCTGGTACCACCCATGGGCGCATAGCAATGTGGAGGATGGTGGTGCATCCAGGCAACAGTAGAGGCGACACCAAGGTCCAGTGGAAGCTGCAGACACCCACTGAAATAGAGGGAAACGTCACTCAGCTGCAGGTAATGTCTTGACCACTGCCGTTATATATGAATCTCAGTAACATACCATGTATATATATATCAGCGATATTCCTGACAAGAAATGTATCGTATTCTGTTACACGACATTTTTACTTTCAGTGGGGCTCAAGTCTGAATCTGCTGGCAGCAAACAATTCCAACACAGTGCTGGTCCTGTGTGAGCATGTGATGTCAGCTCACTTCAGCCAGCAGGTGGCAGCAGTGCAGCTTACCCCAGTACAGCTCAGCATCACTCAGTTCAGCACAGGAGCGCACCTTGCTCTGCACTCCGACATACACATCAAAGGAGTGTGTGTTACCAAGGTAAGAGTTACAGTGAAAGCCTCTACAGAATAATGCCCACGTAGACAAAGAGAAATTTAAACTGACATCATGGTAATGTGACATATTTTGTCCTGCTAACAGGATTCAGTTACAGTCTGGAATGGCAAGCAGGTCACTGTGTTCGAGATTTCAGGGACAACTCTACGCAATACAGGTACAACACTCACCAAAAACTATCTGAACAGTCCAAACAGCGTATGACAGATGTGGTACTGTTCTGCATTTGTGCACTTACTTACAATCTTTATTCTCGATTTCTCCGCACTCGCTTCCTCTATCTTCTGATTTCCCAGGATCATTTCCATGTGATTCCCATGTGGTAGCCG